TAATAATAATAATAATAATAATAATAATAATAATAATAATAATAATAATAATAATAACAATAATAATAATAATAATAATAATAATAATAATAATGTAATACCTGGTATCTAGGTTGACCAGGGACTTCAACGCCTAGAAGTCTAGGACTGTCTGGTTTCATATTAGGACGAATAACAATACTCTCCGCTAGTATAAGATAAATAAAATTAGGTGAATAAGCACGTTTAATATTTTAATGGGAAATTATCCATAGCAAACACTCCCTTTAGCTTTGTAAACATACGTAGAAGTTAAAGGGACGGTTATAAACGTGATGATATCGATATTGCCATCTAGCGATTTCTTCCTTTTTTTTAGCAGAATTTATTCCCAAAACACTTTTGAGAAAAGCCATAAGTGAAAATAATCATTTTTTTCACCTTTTCAGACTTGTGTTTAATTAAAGTGTTTATAATACATGCCACGAACATAAATAATATAAATATAAATACACACAAAAAAATATTTTACCTAATAGTGTAACAAACTTGCTGTACGCCAAGGTTTCTACTATTGATATTTGATAGTATGTATCAACCTAAAATTTGAAAATTTGATTTTTTTAAAATTTTGGATTTACAACTTTGTGCTTCGATTAGCGTTGAATTTTGTCATGTTTTGAATTTGACACATTTGATAAATTTTCCCTTCGCAATTTAATAATGACAATTGTGATGAATTTGCGAATTTGTTTAAAACAGAAAATTATTGTAAATTAAAATACAACCTCACAACTTTCAATTCGAAGTAAAGCAATCATAAATTTTAAAACCATTAATTTTTAGATCAACCATAATGGTCTTGGGTAATTAGGGCCTAAAGAAACATATTTGAGCAGTAAGATAGGCTTATCAGAATCATAAATTCAAAACTTGTGGCATCATGCTTAATTTTTATTGCAATTTTTTTAATTTTGGGTCTTATAATACACTTTAAAATGTGTAAACAATCCTTTAAAACCAGAAAACCATAACCGAATCACAACAGTACCCTTGAAAACTCAATCTAATCAATAATGTGGAAGATATTTTCGTTTCTCTATCTGGAAACGTGTTTAACTTTGATAATGGCTACAAAATGGATTTTATACATAGAAGCCACAGTTGAAAAAAATCAGTTTTCAAAATTATAATTATGGATTTATGATTCAGACAAAGCTTAAGTGTACCGTTGTAAATAAGACATGCCACTTTAAAAAATGGTGGTTCACTCGAAATTACATTTACAGAATACACACTTTTTACAAACCTGAATAATTAGAAACTATACTAAGGGTGACTATTATTTATCATACAAATGTCTGCAAAAAATGTCTATTTCAACCTTAATCAATATAACGTAATAAATTACCAAATGAAACATGTTCTAAAAGTAATTACTTGATCAACCTGAGGCATAGTTTATCATTTGGATATATTTAAGGCAAACATTATGTAGCCTTCATTTTATGATAAATAATGAAGTTATTCTGAATAAACATAATTAAAAAAGTTTTTAACCTTTTACATTTAAAAAATAATAAAATTTGTTCTTATAGTCGTTGGAGCTATCCTAAAGAAACTTAGATACTATTAAAAACACTATAATCCTATTAAGATACTATTAAAAACACTATAATCCTATTTAGATACTATTAAAAACACTATAATCCTATTCAGTTACCACCTCGAGTATCCGTCCTACTGCTATATAAAGCCAAACTTCTATAAAAAGTCGCAATAATATATGATTTGACCTCAGTAACTTATTTAAATTTTTTTTAGCCCCGGACAATTTATAAAGTTACAAAGCACTTGTTTTTAGCTCCAGTTTTTAAGAAGTAATTGGCAAAATTCTATCGATGATTGCTTAAGATCTTTTATATATCACTGTGATGCTATTACAACTCTGAAAGATAGTCACCAATTTTTTAGACAGCCTCGACTTTAAAGTGTCGCAACGCCTTGGTTTATCATTTTACCAACTTATTTTAACTATTTTTAGCCCCAGATATGTACATTTAAAATAGTTGCACAGCACTTGTTCTTAACTTTAATTTTTAGGAAGTAATTGGCAAAACTCTGCCGGCCCTATTAGTTGTAGATATATCTAGTAATCTACCTCTTTCTGTATTTTATGAATATCACTGACTGCTAAACCATTTAGTAGATTCATCAGGACAACAGTCATCAGGAATACAAACATAATAAACAGAAGGTAGCCCAACCAATGTCTGCACAGGATTAAATTGTTAGAACGCTTGATCTCGATATCCAATGTGGACACTTTTAAGTTTGATGATCACAACACAATCCAATGAGATTTCCAAATAATGTGAATAAACACAACCTTTGAAAAACTTTTGATCTTAAACTATTGTACACATAATTGCACAAAAATAAATCCAACCTGCCCATGAAATTAAAGCATTACCAATCATTTAGAAAATACACAAAATATGCTTGCAAATTAATTTACATGCATTCTACAACATATAAAAAGCTATAGCAATTAAGAAATCTGGAAACAACATTTCCATTGCTTTAAAGGAAGTGACCGGCAATGTATGGTAGTTGAACTGAGAATGTAGTATTGTGGACAGTATTTTTAGTATTCATTTGAGACATATAAAATGTTTTGATACATTTTTTGACGTTGTTATTTAATAATTGATTATCATATTGTAACTACACAAATGGATAATTTCAAAAGTCAACTTTGCGCTCAAACTCAGTAATTATACATTATTTAAACGTTTTATTTGTCTCAAATGAATCCTAACAAATCTTCTCCACAATACTACATTCTCAGTTCAACTACCATACATTAAACGAATTAAGTTCCTGCCACAAACTCTAATAAAATCAAATTTTTTAATCCCTATATTTTTTTAACCCGATGTCGTAGATTTTTGATATTTCAAAACTAAATTAAATCAAATTGCCTAAGTTTGACATATCAAAGGTTTACACGATCGGGTTGCAAAGATATAGGGATTAACAAAATTTAGCTATTTGCTTTTATTTCTTAGCATAACAAGTTTTCAGAGAATGTTGTAAATTGTTCATGAAGTGAGAATGTAATCTAATCTATAGGCTTTTTATACTATTTCATATTACTTTTCAGACTACTGTAAATAAAGTAATAAAAGAATCATCATTTTAACCCCCCCCCCCTCACCACCTCCGTAAAAAAATCACAAAAGTAAGATTTTGATTTAATCTAATAAATAATCCTTCCTTATTGGGAAATCATTGTAGTTAAATTCTCCAGTGAACATAACCACAGTCTAAAAATATAATTTCAAATTAGTCAAAATTGTCACGAACTTATTTTTTGGGAAAATTCAGATATTTTTTTTTATTCTTTCGTTTACATTTTTCTAAGCAACACCTTAACAAAAGTTGCAGTTATTTTCAAACATATCCGTTCGTTCTTTTTTCCATAGATGTTTTTTTGTTCGTTGACGTAATCATCCGTAAATAATGCCTAACCGATTTTTAAATAAAATCTACCCCTTAGATATAATAATCGGAATAATCGTTCCGCATAGTTTTTTTTTATCAAGTTTGAGAAGCATTTAGGAAGTAGATTTAATATAGATTTGGTTAAGAAGAAAGGTTTCGCAGTTTATTTTAAACGATTAAAAATTCTTAACAGCTTTAGAAAAGTTTTCGATAGACCTTTACGGGTCCAAATTGAAATGAATCTATAATAAAAAATATAATGTTAATCATTGTAAATATTTATAATAAATCTAATCTACTATCAAATACTGGCAAATCTCCAAAAATAGTTTTTATTTGATATTTTTGCAAACGTGAAGTATGTTATCAAATATTCAAGGGGTGGAGGTGGGGCTGGTCACATTCTCATTTTTTGAAATCGTTCGTTGTGCATTCATAAACGAGGGCCTTCAGCTGGATCGTTCGTTCTGCATTCATTAACGAGAGCCTTCAGCTGGATCGTTTGTTCCGCATTCATTAACGAGGGCCTTCAGCTGGATCATTCGTTCTGCATTCATTAACGAGGGCCTTCAGCTGGATCGTTCGTTCTGCATTCATTAACGAGAGCCTTCAGCTGGATCGTTTGTTCCGCATTTATTAACGAGGGCCTTCAGCTGGATCGTTCGTTCTGAATTCATTAACGAGAGCCTTCAGCTGGATCATTTGTTCCGCATTCATTAACGAGGGCCTTCAGCTGAATCGTTCGTTCCGCATTCATAAACGAGGGCCTTCAGCTGGATCGTTCGTTCTGAATTTATTAACGAGAGCCTTCAGCTGGATCGTTTATTCCGCATTCATTAACGAGGGCCTTCAGCTGGATCGTTCGTTCCGCATTCATTAACAAGGGCCTTCAGATGGATCGTTTGTTCCATATTCATTAACGAGGGCCGTCAGCTGGATCGCTCGTTCCGCATTCATTAACGAGGGCCTTCAGCTGGATCGTTTGTTCCGCCTTCATTAACGAGGGCCTTCAGCTGGATCGTTCGTTCCACATTCATTAACGAGGGCCTTCAGCTGGATCGTTTGTTCCGCATTCATTAACGAGAGCCTTCAGCTGGATCGTTTGTTCCGCATTCATTAACAAGGGCCTTCAGCTGGATCGTTCATTCCGCATTTATTAACGATGGCCTTCAGATGGATCTTTCGTTCTTCCAAATAGTTCTATTTGTTGTGTTAATGATCGAAAATGGTTTTAGACGTTTTTAACGATTTTTTTCGTTAACCATATAATTGTTAACGATATATTTGTTAACGATAGTTGAATGTTAACGATAGTTGATTGTTAACAATAGTTGATTGTTAACAATAGTTGATTGTTAACGATAGTTGATATTTTATGATGTAAGATTGTTGAAAATGGTCCACTAGGGTGGGATGAAAGTATAAGGTATAGGGTGTACCACAGACCGGAAATTTCCTGGTAAGATTATTATTATACATTATCATTATCATTATTTCTGTTATCATTAACCGGAAATCCCGTCTGTTCCCTTAAAAAAAAACGACCGTTCACCGTTAACGATGCCAAGCCCTAGATGAAGGTAGTTGTGAATAGAGAAGAATGTCCCAAAAACTCTGATTACCTTAACCAAGGCATATCCCAGATTCCCAAACTGATCATCAGCATTTTCTTCACAAGCAGTTGTATCAGTGGAGTTAGCGCTAACAATACATGGCTCAGCACTATATACCAAACTGAAACTAAACAGCAAACAATAAAAAACATGAATTAAACAAAAATAGTAAACAAGCAAAAAGTTAACAAACAAACATTGTAAAAAACAGTAGTACACAACAAATAGTAAACAATGCATATATGTACTTACAAACAAATAATAGCCAAACAAATTTTAGCTAACAAATAGTAAAATAAAAAAACTACTTGTAGTAAACAAAAATAAATAAACAAACAAGATGTAAACAAATAATTAGCAAACAATTGGTAAAAAAAAACATTTATGTAACAAAGAACCAATTAAACAAACATAAAAAGTAAAAACAAAAAAACAGTTGTAAAATACACTTTGGTAAACAAAGAAACAGAAAACAATAAATACTAAAAAATAAATAACAAACAAATAAATTGCAAACATTGAATAATGCAAAAAAATATGATATACGACAATTCTAAACTTACAAATTGTATACATTGAATACGTAACAAATAAGATTTAAACCAATAGTAAACTAACAAATAGTTAACAAACAAACAATAAACAAACAAATGGTAAACAAAGAAATAGTAAACAAATAAATAATAAGCAAAAAATTAGTAAACGGACAAATAGTAAGATTATAATTAACAAACAGAGAGTAAACAAAAAAGCAAACCTGCAAAATCAATTAACAAACAGTTTTAACAAAAATGATAGTACAATGATCACCTAACCTGAAAGCGAAGGAAACCAAGAATGCAAAGTAGGAGAGTAAGATAAAGGTATAGGTCCTAAAAAATCAGAAAGTAAGATGACGGTATATGTCCTTTTCAAAAGTGATTTGCGGATTTATACCGACGACATAATGAAGGAAATTGTTAGACACTTATTTAAATAGGAAAAAAAGCTATATCTTTCCTGATTGTTATTCAGACAAAAGTTTAAAGAACACTGTGAATCAGATATGTCACTCTATAAATGGAGAATAATGTACTTGTAACTACATCTTATACAGCTCGATCCTTAATGAATGAAAAAATATATATATTTATTCTTTTTAACTAGCAAATTAAGCTCCATTTAAGATCAATTTTAACCAATTTTGAAAAAAACATATTTGGCCCCTAATTGGCCAAATTTGGAAAATATTCATTTCTTGAACACATTACGTAAACCAAATTTACTTGCAATTAACACGTTTTTGCAACTAAAAACTAAATATGAACTACATCACAATGTTTAAATTGTGTTTTCAGATAATAAAGTCTCGACTTTTAATAAAAATTTCATGCATTACATAATTATCATAATAATATTACATAAAATTACATGATATTACATAATAACAAAGTTTTTCGCTAGAAATATCAAATTGAAGATATTCTATTCTATACAAAAACTTCTCAGATCACCATTTTTAAATTTATGAATCAAAACAAAATCACCGAGTTCTTCAATCTAAATTTATGGCAAATCGTTCCTGGGGTTCATGCGTTTTGATCGGACATACAAACAAACAGAGAAATAGATAGAGATTAGTGATTACTACTTTATATAGAAGAATGGTGGTATACCTGAGTACAGTGGAGAACATGTTTACGTAAAGAGGTATTGGAGTATTGGGCACTATTCTTACAAGCAGTAAATACACCTAAAATAAGATGGATTCATCTTTAAGGAATCTTATAGTTTTTTTAAAGTAGTTACACACGTCCAGAAGCCTCTGGTATAATCAGGGTTCACCCACGTGCTTATCTATATAATAAAACATGACATTCGTATATATATATAGCCGACCGAATGGGCTAAATTTTATTTTAGTGTGGACACTCATGGGTGGTCAAGGGGTGTTATAGGCTAAAAAAAATGTTCTCAGTATTTTTATTATTTTTCCACAGGCAACGCCGAGCCCTTCAGCTAGTCTCAATATTTATTCAATAATAGTAGTTATGATTAAAAACACAAAAGATTTCAATCTTAATTGCAATTATTTTAGTTTACTTTAAAAAAGGAAGTCTCACACCACCGTAGTTTTGATATAAGTAATATATATAATTATAAGTACGTGAGTGAACCCTGATTATACCAGATGCTTCTGGACGTGCGAAACTATTTTGAAACAATCTATAAGATTTGAATTTCTTATAAACAAGCAAATATTATCGTTTCAGAATTTTTATATCTCCGGTAATATAAAATGCACAAAAAGAGCAGAAAAGTTTTTCAAAAAGAACCATACTTATAAGAGTAAGTTGAGGGATGAATGCTGACGCTGTATTAAGTATTTAAAAGTTTAAGTACCGTCTTCTAATGTTTTTCGTTGGAGATTCTGTAGTTCTAAATAATTTAATGAAATGGCAACACATATTTGCCAAAAGTAAAAATAAGTACTTTTCACCATTTTTTTGAACGTACTTTTTTAACTTTTTTATAGCCTCCCTTGCACCCTAACCATGCAAATTAGAGGTTTGACAAGTTGGACTAGGGACATGGTCACTGCACTCACCTATCTCAACGCGGTATTGAGTTAACTATGTTTAATTTAATTTTTTTTAATTAGGTTAATGGGCTTAAGAACCGTATAAATCTAGTTTAAACTTTTCAAATAAATTTAAATTATTAAAATTTCTAAAGTTTCTACTCCAGAATTGATCTCAGTGATGCTGTAAAGTGGTGGTAGGCGGATGGGAATTTAATAATCTTTTGGTAAACTTTAATACTCTATACCTTAATAAATTACACTCTTCACTTTAATTTAACAAGTAGCTCGTATGGCATCAGAATAAATGACTATTGTCAAAAGGGGTGTGAATAAGTATTCATGAAAATAAATATCCCTGTTCAAGAATCATACCGGGGAAGCGTGAATGTATGTATATAATTCTATTAGTAGAATAAAGCCAAGTCGAGCTTTCCCGTCAGATTGGTTTCCTGAAGAATACATCGCCTAGGGAGATAGCGGGACATTGGTTGAATAACCCAAGATAACGGGGAATATAACGGGAATATCCAACATGCAGCAGGGAAGGACGGTAGATCTGTACAAGATCTCCGACCACACCGGGCAGTCTATCAGCTAATAATTCGCCGGAGAGGCGAATATTCAAATATGTGTCCTCAGTATTAATAAGTTTACCAATTCGTATTGTTTCATTATGTTTTATGAATGTAAATAAATGTTTGGTGTGCAATATTACTATAAATATATATAATAATACGCATTATAGTTCTGATATAAACTATTCCTGTATGAATACAAGGAATATGAATGCAATTATAAATGCTATTTTAGTCCTATATCTGATATAAACTATTCCTGCATGAATACAAGTAATGTGAATGCTATTATAAATGCTATTGAAGGCCTATATCTGATATAAACAATTCCTGCATGAATACAAGGAATTAATGTGAATGCTATTATAAATGCTATTGTAGGTCTATATCTGATATAAACTATTCCTGTATGAATACAAGGAATATGAATGCTATTTTAAATGCTATTGTATGTCTATNCCAGTTTTCACCCTAACTCGGTGAAAACTGGGATTCAAAAAGTCGAGTTTAAGTCGAGTTTATGCACCCAGATTTCACCCAGTTGGTGACTGGAATTCAAAAGTGGAGTTAAAGTCGAGTTTAAGTGGAGTTTTGAAGTGGAGTTTAGAACAACTAGTTGACATCTAGTTGTAACATCCACTTCTGTTTTCTGGGCTGTATAGGGTATATCTGATTTAAACTATACCTGCATCAATACAAGGAATATGAATGCTATTATAAATGGTTCTGTATTGGGTATATCTGATATAAACTATACCTGCATGAAAACAAATACCATGAATGCTACTTAATGCTTCTGTATAGGTCTATATCTGATATAAACTATACCTGCATGAATGCTAGCAGGAAAGTGAATGCTGCTAAATGCTTCTGTAGATATGGATATGATATGAACCATATATCTGGTAGAAGGGAGAGAAGAACTAGAACCAGAACACACCATTCAATCATATTTTCATAGTAGTGAAAATACCTGAAACAAACATCGTCCTTTACAAAAATTTGCAAACCTTTTTAGTGCTTAATTTCAGAATCAGGACACGTAAAGTGAAATTGTATTAATTAATATTAAAACAAAATTTCCAGGAAGTATTTTTAACATAGGAATATCTAGTTTAAAGTTAACAACATAATTTTAGGAATATTTCACATTTTTAGTTTAAAGTTAATAACATAATTTTAGGAATATTTCACATTTTTAGTTCGTGGTATTTCGAAATTCTATCGTTAGATTTTCTATTCAACGAACAAATGTTAGGATTTGTACTAACAGCCTGTGAGATAAAGGGTGTCCCATGAAACATGATTCTTGAAACAATAATCACAAAATTCTGTTTGTCCTGGTATTTCCAAATTGTGGTCTGCATTTTTGTGCTGTCAATTTTACCGAAGTTATTGAAAATATAGTTCAAATTTCAATTTATTGATAAAAACCGAGATTGTCGAATTCGGAAAAAAAATTTGTGATTATTACCTCTAGAATCATGAAATTAGGTTTAAAAATAAAATGCTGTAACTTATTTAAAAAATCAATCGTTTGGTACTCTCACGTTTCGTGGGACACTCTGTAGTATTTATCACCTTTTCCTCAATCTAACAAGCTGGACGATCTCCCTCGCCATCAAGAAGATCGTAAAGATCGCAACCAGGATCGTACTAATCGTGATCGAATAATCCAACTGTGTTACATAGTATACCTCCACTGTAGTTGATAGTTTCTACACAATAAAAACATTAACATTTACAAGAACTGGAACGACCAATAGGACTGTCGTTGAAATTGACTCTACATCTGTTGAGTGGGAGGTACGATTCACAACCGTACCCAGCAAACTAACTGAAAATTGATTATTGCGCAAATTTACACAGAAAAATCCGCCAAAAATTTGAGGATGATTCAATATGGCCACTTTCAGAGCAAAATTTAAAAGCTAAAGCTTTTGATAGGAAAAGGGACGCGAAGTGAATGTGATTTAAATAGAGGTTAATTTGGGATGAGATCTAACTAATCCTTTTATTGTTAGAATTATTACTAAAATTCTATATTCCATTAATATTATTTTTCATTTTCATTTTTCATTTTCATAAACAGAAACTATGGTGTATCAGAAAACATCTAAATCAGAATTCCTTAAGTGAATTATAAAGATGGACTCTACTTCAAAATTAATCAAAATGTTTCAACATCATTGTATCAAAAGTCGAGTACTTTGTAGTCTTTATAAAATTTTCTAATCCTTATCTATTTGCAACCTGATGGTGTAAAATTTTGATATTTCAAACTTAGATTATTGATCTAACAAAATTCAAAGTTTAAAATATCTAGGTTGTATGACATGACGTTGCTTAGATAGGGACAGGTTGCTAAATATGCGGCAAAGGCTCACTTACTTTACGCATTTTCTAAAATAATAACATGCCAAATTTTTATCTGGGTTCATGTGAGTTGTCAAAAAAATGTAGGCCTGATTGGTTCAGCCCTACTGACGTTTATTGGATACAAACACACAAACCGCCAAGCAAAGAATTTTACTTAGATGTACGTAGGTAAACTAAAATAAGTGTATAACCATGGGAAGGAAAAATCAAAAATCTTGCTAATTTGACTTTTACTCTTTGTAAAGAAGTGTGAATCTTCAGCGAAGAAAATAAGAATTTCTTCTTTTTTACTTATTTTTTATGATTGATGGATATTCAACACTTTTTAATATTTATTTTTGTTTATCTTAAATCAAGCGTACATTTCTTGTAAATGGGATATTTAAATCAAATCAAATCGCCATTTGTTTTACAGCTGACATTACTAGGGTTGTCTAAATCAGAAATTTTGAATTGGTGATTCAGGATTTGAGCCAACAAGCATATTTTAAGAAGTTAGTTCAGCAACCTCTCTCCAATTCAAAACACTTGGTCCCAGAAAATACTTTTAATGTAAAATACTTACACTTTTCAGTTTGTTAAACCGCTCTCCGAAGAAAACGTAGAGTATGAGAATATATAGCAAATAAACCAGAAAATCTAAAAAAAGAGATATTTAAGATTTTAAAAATAAGCTTTATTATTTTTTTAAAAAGTTTCAGAAAAGAAATGGCAGCATAAATAAATAATTTTCAAATATTGAAAGGAGAAAAATAAAATTGACATTATATTTATTTTTATCTATAATTCAATTTTTAGGTTTTTATTGGACAACAATATTTTTAAATTATTCTTTCAATTAAATTGAAACGTAATTTCAAATGACATTCCCGTTACAGAATGACACACCCCGGGGCCAAGACTAACCTGAGTGAGAAGTATTCGGTTTCTTTTATTTGAAATCAATCTTTAACTTACGGATTTGTTTCTTCAATACTCTTTCATTCAAAACAAATGCCGACAAAAAAGTATTTAAGAAAAAAGGCTAAAATATTATTTTGTTTAATGGGTCAAATTGTGATCAAAAGTCACAACTTTCTGAAATATTGACAGAATCCTTAAATCCACGTGTCGACCTAGAAAAACTTCCACGTACAACTAATCAAAAGGTTTCAAGGTGCACCGTTGTGAATCGGGCATGTCCCCTTTTTAATGTAAGGTCGCTTTTAATTTCGCTTACAGTCTCTTTAATAGAATATATTTCTTGTATTTTACTCATGTCCTTTTAGAGAAAGAAATGTTTGTATTGGAAAAGGTTCCTTTTATGTTTTCAATACTACGACTTATTCAAAATCCTTTTAACAATTTCTTTTCTTATATTCTAATCATTTCTGATTTAACGATTTTAGAAGATTTTACGGTTTCTTCTTTAATGCTCTGGGTTTCGATTTCACTTGAATCCTTGAAAGACCAACGTGCAGATTATTAACTAAATCTTCTGAGCTGAAAACTTTATAATGTAATCCCGATCGGTTAATTAATCTGGAGATTAACAGCAGGAGGATAAAAGCATTATTTTATCTGGAAATTAAGACAAAGAGTGGATCAACCAATTAACCCGATATCCACCATTCAAAAGTTTCTAGCTCTGTTTTCTGAAAACCTAATGTGACTGTGAGCTACTGGTTCATGATACCACTATTTTGTTCTCACGAACACATAGATATCATTAATTTAAAATTCGGTGATTGTGATGGACCAAACCTCTGTAGAGTAAAACAGTAGATGTTAGTTCCACATTTATTGAAAATATATTTCGGTCTAGGTTGACCCTCGTCAGTTCTATCGATATAATAACCATCAAAATCGATAAAAAAATATAAAAAAATGTTTGTTAAAAATCACAAGAACATAAACAAACAAAAAAGATTATTCAAAATAAAAATTTGGGCTGTCAAATGGACATAAGGGAAACGAACTTAGATTATCAGATAGAAAAAAAGATAATTTGCAAATATTCACTTTAAAAAAATGTTTTAAGACAAGTGATGGTGGAAGTCGAACTAATTAACGAACTTTTGTGTAAATCGGGGGGAGGGGGAGGGGGGGGGGCACATGGTTAAAGAAGGGGAATTAAAACCTTTAAAAAAATGGAACAAAAAAAACCCTTTTTTTAAAAGATACTGAATTATAATTAACAATTAAATATAAACTATTTTTTCTGTTCATTTCTCTGAGTTCAGTCATAAAATCTCTGATGTATTTAGATTCTCGTACTTCAAGTGAACTTCTTCATCGTATATTATCGAGAATACCAGACGCCGGGGCAACAAAGTCTTAATTTTTTTTTTTTTAAATGAGATGTCTGTAAAAAGTTATAGGTAAGCGTTTAACCTATTAATTTTCAAAATTTGATTGAAATTTATCAATAATTAAATGCGGTATGATATGACAAATATATCAGCAAATAATTATTTCTCGATTTTGCTTACAGATGTGTCCACTTTTTAAGGATTTTGACATAACTCTTTTATTATCTATGCATTTTTATTAAAAAATAGGATAACAAAAAAAAATCTGAAAACTAAAAATTTTGTTGCCCGGATTAGTTTTTCAATGTAATACAAATATTGTTGACATTGTTATTTCTCAAATTTCAATGTTTTTATTCCGAAACTTTTATGATTCAAACAAAGCTGCTGAAAATCAAAGCTTTTTTAATCTGCACTTTGCGAGGGTTAAAGATCAGCGAAATCGTTCAGGTTTTTTGCTCCCCCCCCCTAGTGAAAAAAATTATCCTTTAGACAAATTCTTGTGTACGTCCCTAAAGGGAACCATTGTGAATCGGGAATGTAACCTTTTAAATATATGGTCATTTGAAATTACGTCTTTAGCCCTTTAAAGTTTTTTTCTCACTTTTTATTAGCTGAAGTTAGCTGAAGTTAGCAGAAGTTAGCTGAAGTTTGCTGAAGTTAACTGAAGTTAGCTGAAGTTAGCTGAAGTTAACTGAAGTTAGCTGAAGTTAGCTGAAGTTAGCTGAAGTTAGCTGAAGTTAGCTGAAGTTAGCTAAAGTTAACTGAAGTTAACTGAAGTTAGCTGAAGTTAGCTGAAGTTAGCTGAAGTTAGCAGAAGTTAACTGAAGTTAGCTGAAGTTAACTGAAGTTAGCTGAAGTTAACTGAAGTTAACTGAAGTTAACTGAAGTTAGCTGAAGTTAGCTGAAGTTATCTGAAGTTAGTTGAAGTTAGTTGAAGTTATCAACACTTTTAGTTCAAAAATTGCGTGGATAACTTTCTCATTTTTGAGCTTATAATACCTATGATATAACCAGTTCTCAGATTGTTTAACTGTAGTTCCAAGAAACTGCTCAGTACAGGGTGCTTCAGTAATTGTCTAAATAAGATGTTTTCGTAAAAAAAGTTAGGTAATTATATATATTTATATATATATATATATATCAGTTGAAACGCAACAATCTTCTTATAACATTTTATTCATAAACAAATTGTTTCATGCTTTTATGCAATCATATATATATATATATATAGACACAGTGTTTCGTCCTATTAGGACTCATCAGTATGGCTCTATTCATATATATAAAGTTTGTTTGTTTGTCTGTTTGGATGTCCGATCATAAGTCAAAAACCTTTTGATCGATTTGCCCAATATTTTGATTGTGGAACTCAGTAGACCCACGGACATGTTCTAAGCTAGGTTTGAGATTCTAAGTTGAGTGGGTTAACTTTTGCATGAAGAAATAGAATCCTAATTTACAACCAAGCACGGGTAAACGGCGCGAGTAACTATGAAAACACCGGGCAACAAGAAAAGGGACATTACGGAAAATGCGGGCAGAACAATATGCATGTCAGGGACAATTTATATTTCTCATAAATATATACAGTGCTCTCAAAAATAAAATGGCAAATAAGACAACCTCTCATAAATATACAGAACTCCCAAAAATAAAATGGTAAATGAAGACAACTTCTTTATAGAAATAGGGATGTTTAAGGATCCTTAGAATACGAAATACAAAATCTTCAAAGAAGACTGAATTCACAAATGTTATGTTTCATGTTTAAAATTGGAGTATTTCTTTAAAACTTGTAAAATTCAACCCCTGTATGGGTATTATGTTCAACATGTGGTCATGAGATGGCAATCTAAAAACCTATCGTAAAAATGTAGCATGTCGTGCCGGGTCAACTTAGGCCTACGTAGCCCACCCTGTGAAATGAGATAAGCAGTCTGTGTAATCTGTGGCTCAGCCCATTAGGGTCCCCGAGAAAGTTTGTTGTACTAAATTAAACTATAATAACATTCATTGTCATTAAACTATTTCGTTACTTTAACGTCCAGGGTATGTTAAAAAAGAATTATGATAATGATGATGAAATGTTTTACCAAAAAAGTTCAATTTCTCTAAAATATAAAAAATATTTTCCCGCCAAAAAGGTAACCGCCAAAAAAGTTCTATGAAAAAATATTTTCGGAAATAATGTCCTACATTTTGGCAATAAAAAAGTCCTGTGGAATAAAAGTCCTTAAAACAAAAAGTCTTTGGAAATAAAGTCCTACTACAATGACACTTTATTTTCTAGGACTTTTTTCTGGGTCCAATATGAATTGATACAAAAATGTCCTCGGAAAAAAAGTCCAATTTTAGTAGAAAATGCATAGGAACAAATCGGATTTTTACAACCATGCAAAAAAAGAGGCAATTGATACAAAAAAACGCTGGATATATTAAATGTGCAGATGCTTAGATAAAAGTCCTTTTTATAAAAACATCTCAGACTTGACCTCATTTTCACAAGACTTATTTCCTGAGACTTTAATGGCAGTCCCATATTATTGTTACTATAATGTCGGACTATACAGGAAAAAAGTTAAAAAGAGCTAATGAAAACATGGACTGGAGATAAAATCCTTTCGACAACTTTTTTCTTATTCTGAGATTTCAAAGTTTCTTATAGAAAGCTTAAGGATTAGCTCTTCTCTAAAATACAAAGAATATATAAAACAAATCTTGAAAACTTTCTTAATCCAGGTTAGAAAAGTAAAATATCTATTTATATATAAGTAAAGTAGTAATCTTTGTTTATTTGTATGTTCGAAGCCCTTGACCGATTTGCCTCAAATTTTGACTAGGTAACTCGACCGAACCAGGGAAGTGTTCTTAGTTAAGTTTAAAAATTCTAAATTGAGTGGGGTAACGTTGAAGGAGGAACTTTAGTTTCCATGCAGAGCTGGGTTCCAAAGCTAGTGCTAAAAAAGATTCGGAACTCCGTAGTTCAAGTAAACACCACCTTAAAGAGACATTGGTCCCATCAACAACGGTCTCATTAATATACCTTTGTAATAAACATGATAAAGATTCTTTATCTGAAAAGGAACAGATTTTTTCAAAAAATCAAAATTTTCGAATCCCAATATCTTTACAACCTGATAGTGTAAACCTTTGATATATTAAACTTAAACAGAATTTATAGTTTGAAATATCAAAGGTCTACACAAGGTTTCAAAGATAAAGGGAGTAAAAATTCAGAGTTTGTGCACAAAAAAAACTTCTTTATAATGTTCAACAAAGAAGAATAAGAAATAGACAGAATCCATCAATTTTAAAGACATTTCTAAGGACATCTTCCATTTTTGTATTTTATGCGCAAAAAAAGGTTTATATTTTTTATTTGTTAATCATGAAATGGAGGATTTATTGAAAAAAACCTTTATGAAGGTTCTCTTATAAAGTTCCAAAGAAAAATATTCTAAAACTTACACAGTAATTAAAGGAACTTTGCCATTATCTAATATCAAAATTATCGAAACTATTAAAAAAAAATTATATTCAAATTACAAACAGAATGTTATGAATGTAAGGTTTTGTGAGTAAATTTTTTTCTCGTAATTAAAAAACAAACATGGATTGAAGAGTTTGAGATCGACATGGTTTAAATTTAGTAATACCTGATTTCAAAAGTCAAATATAATTAAGTCCACAGAGTTTATTTGATGAAAACGATGAAAAAGTGTGTAAGATGTAAGATGTAAGATGTATATGTAATATCCCTGCAAGATGAACAATGATGACGACCAAGCTATATGTTTTTTTTATAGGAATATTTTTGTTCTAACTGAGTACAACCGTTTTCAATCAAAAATGTAAGTGTACTTTTAATAGACCCTTCCTGCAAAGATGGCAATGTCCGATTTACAATCCACCGTTTAAGTGTGAATTATATATTTATGTTTTTGTTTCTTAAAATTGTTAATTTTCGTTTGCAGGATCTTTGCAAAGGTGACTTGCACATTTTTGTTTAAAGGAAGCAACGGACGGAGTCAGAAAAACGACTGTATCTTCCACAGTTTAATCAGATTAAGGTTTCAGTGGTGCCGTTGTAAACTTGTAAATCGGGTATTGTCATCTTTGCATGGTGGCTCACTTAAAATTACGCTTACAGTCCCTTTAGTTACCATATTTATTGGTAGTATATTTTTCTAACAATTTACCTGAAGGTGTCAACATCACCAAAAAATTCCAGACGCTTCGTGTCAATCTTCTTTTTAAACTTCCTATAGGAAGAAAATTACACTTTGTGACATGATTCAATTATTTAAAATGCAATTACAAAATACAAACAATAGAGTTTTCAATTTTCTCAAAATCATAATGTGTAATGTCAATCCCAAGAGAAAACAAAAAACGAGAACATCACTGTAAATCTGCATTAATGATTGGATTAATAAATGAATTTATGAGAATTTATGAAACTATTGTGTAATTTATCATTATTCCTCACTTCATTGTGAATTTCATAATGAACGTAATTATTGTGCTATAAAGTTAAATTAGCTGCACATTATAGCACATGTGCTATAAAGTTTTGATTGGTTACGGAATCTTCTCAAAAAAAATTTAGATATTTCCAAAAAAAAATTTTTTCATTGAAATGAAAATTAAATTTAAATCAACTTTATATTTTAATTTCTGCTTTGTTTTAAAGCTTATTTGATCTAGAAATGACCATTGAAATTATCTATTACACATATTATTTTGGCACGACGTGCTATAAAGTTTTTGGACTTACATTTTCTCTATCTCGAAGGTTCTCGCCTTCTCGATAAAGCGAAAATTTCTGTCCAAAATATTTTTATCACTTCGAACCAAAATAACAGTGTTATAAATAGTTAATTCAAAAATCCCCGCGAAAAATGTTGAACATTTGCACATTTTTTCTCCTACTCCATAAACTCTGAAGTACCAAATTGGAGGTACATTTTCTTCTGATACGTTTATTTGATTTCTTAAATGCCTTTCAAAGTTTGTTGTAAAAAGAGTTGTATTGTAATAAGGAGAAATTAAAATGATTTTAAAATGAAAAAATTTTTCTTGTCAATGCTGAACACTCCATTTAGTTATTAACGGGACTGTAAGCAAAATTTCAAGTGACCCTTAATAAAAAGTTGGCAATGCCCGATTAACAACAGTACCTTGAAACCTTTGGCTTTATCAAATCAATCTAGATTTTAAAGTGTTTGATTTTGGTAATTTCTATAATTTTTATAGTAAAATATGGAAGTCACTTTAAAAAAAAAAAACCATAGGAAATAACAATTGACACAACTTTTAAGGGAACCGTTGTGAATCGAACATTGCCAGATTTTGCATGGAGGGTTAATTAAAATAACGCATATAGTTCCAATCAACTGACTTGAATTATGGAGGGTTAATTAAAATAACGCATAAAGTTCCAATCAACTGACTTGAATTATGAAGGGTTAATTAAAATAACGCATATAGTTCCAATAAACTGACTTGAATTATGAAGGGTTAATTAAAATAACGCATATAGTTCCAATAAACTGACTTGAATTATGAAGGGTTAATTAAAATAACGCATATAGTTCCATTAAACTGACTTGAATTATGGAGAGTTAATTAAAATTACGCATATAGTTCCATTAAACTGACTTGAATTATGGAGGGTTAATTAAAATTACGCATATAGTTCCATTAAACTGACTTGAATAATGGAGGGTTAATTAAAATTACGCATATTATAGTTTCATTAAACTGACTTAAATCAGAAAAGAGTGAAATTCCTTGTTTCTCTTTTCCCTACTCCCTTCTCTACCTCGTCACTCCATGCCTGAAATAAAAACATTTAAATATTTATGAAACTTTATCACTCCTGAGATAGAATTTAAAGAATTTGAGCCGCGGCTTAAATCCGCCAAAACCCGATATAAATTAAGCGCCGGCTTAAACCTTGAAAAATTTGATACAATTGTAAGTGGAACCATTCATATTTAAACCGCGGCTTAAATTTAAACCGCTGCTCAAATTCTTTAAATTCAACCACTGATCATTTCACTTATAGCGGTGCTATAAAACAATCATTGAGTTATAATTCGAATTAAGTGGTATTTTGTAGCATGGTGTAATAAAGTTTAATTGGTTCCCAGATTCTCTCTCAAAAAAATAAGGATATTTCTAGAATAATTTTCAATATTGAGAATAAAGAGGAAAGGTCAAATTTCTGTCAAATTAGTCATAGCATTTAGAGATTGAGTTTGAATTCTAAACGTATCTCCACTGTATCATTCTTTTTCAATTACGTCCCTTACTACAGTAACCACCACCCCCTTCCCTCATTCTAAGGGGTCGTCCGCCTTATCTTGATAATCTAGCTTTCCAAAAACGATAAGGATGTGTTGATAAGACAGGATTACAGGATATAAAAGGAGACCTAATAAAGAATAACTTCAGTTGCACCGAAGCCTCTTAGGAAGAGGGACTAACTCCCTTCTGGTTCGGGAAGGAAGGATCAGGAGGGTAACAATGTGGGGCCAGAGTTTGAAGTCTGAGAGTCCAGAAGCCCAGAGTCACAGAGTCCAGCAGAGCGACCTGATTCAAGAGGGGCAAGAGTCCAGTGCCGAGTGTCCAAAGAAATCAAATCTGTGAGTCCCAGATCCAGTCCTCAAATTCGATCCCCATTATTTGTCGTAGAGATTCTTTGTTCTCTTATACTACTATCAACGCTTGGAACGTAATTGAACATAAAAATACTTCCTCAACTCTTGACCAGAAAACAACACAGTTAAAATAGACAAAATAAAAATTTTAACTTTGATTCTATTTTTTGTTATTAAATGTATTTTTCCTAATTGGTTCTTTTTGTATATAATTGGATTTGTAATATTATAATTACAATTTCTAACAAAGTTTTTTCAAAGCAGTCGAAACTCTCTACCAACGAGGGAATAGTTAAAGCCACACAGATTTAGAGAGCTATTGAAGGTTGAACAATCTCCTCCTATTAAAACAAACCAGAAGTTATGTAACTGTACAGAACTCTATCTACTAGTTTTACTCCCCTAAAAAAAACTTAATAAACTTACAATTGCTTTATCCTCCACTTTGTTTATCTTGAGTTGTGGATCTATATCTGGTTGAGCGAATATGTTAAATAGAATTGTTATTCCAAAATCTTCATCATCAGCATCATCACCAGACGACTACACAACATTATCATCATTAGTATCATAACCAAACTAGACAACATTATCATCATTATTATCATCACCAGACTAGACAACATTATCATCATTAACATCATTACCAGACTAGACAAGATTGTCATCATTAGTACCATCACCAGACTGACAACGTTACCATCATTAATATCATCACCAGACTACACAACATTAGCATCATTAGTAACTTCACCAGACTACACAACATTAGCATCATTAGTAACTTCACCTGACTAGACAACGTTATCATCATTAGCAATATCACCAGACTAGACAACATTATCATCATTAGTACCATCACCAGACTTGACAACATTAGCATCATTATTATCATCACCAGACTAGACAATATTATCATCATTAGTATCATCTCCAGACTAGACAACATTATCATCATTAGTATCATTACCAGACTAGACAACGTTAGGATCATTAGTATCATTACCAGACTACACAACATTATCATCATTAGTATCATCACCAGACTAGACAACATTATCATCATTAGCATCATCTTCAGACTAGACAAGGTTATCATCATTAGTATCATCTCCAGACTAGACAACATTATCATCATTATTATCATCACCAGACTAGACAATATTATCATCATTAGCATCATCATCAGACTAGACAATATTATCATCATTAGTATCATCACCAGATTAGACAACATTATCATCATTGGCATCATTACCAGACTAGACAACATTATCATCATTAGCATCATCACCAGGCTAGACAACAATATTTTATTACAATATCCATTAAGGTAAACATTTGAATGGATGGATCCCTACATTTTTGCAACCTGATGTTGTAAACCTTTGATATTTTAAACTTAGACTATTTAATCTCACAGAATTCAAATTTTGATTTATCTAAGGTCTTCAACAATAGATTGTAAAGATGTAGTGATTAAAAAATCAGAGTTTGTGGCAAAAACTCAAATCTTTTAGTCTGTTATCACATGTTATATAAACTCTATTAAAAAGTTTATACCAGCATACAGTCTTCAAAAAGGAATTCCTCTAAAACTTTTGGATGTATGTTCATAGTACCCTGGGGGTTTCGATCAATTTTAGCACCATTCCTAAAATAAAAAAATCCTAATATAGAAAACTTTCTAAAATGTGAAAGAGACAAAATTTATAAATAATCATTAGAACACCATTTTTACAAATGAAAGTATTTTTACACAAAAAGAAAATATATTTTTAAATGAATAGCTAATTAGGGACACTAATTGTCTGATCAGAAACGGTAAGTACCTTATTAGGAACAGAAATTATCTAATTAGGAACACTAATTACCTAATTAGGAACACTAATTACCTAATTAGGGACAGTAATAACATAATTAGGAACCGAAATTACCTAATTAGGGACTATAATTGTCTAACCAGAAACGGTAAGTACCTTATTTTAAACACTAATTACCTAATTAGGAACACAAATTACCTAATTAGGAAAACAAATTACCTAATTAGGAAAACTAATTACCTAATTAGTTACACTAACTACCTAATTATGATCACTAATTACCTAAAGACTATCAAATTAGGAACATTAACTATCTAAATAGGAAATAGGGACACTAATTACCTAATTAGGGACACAAATTAATGTTTCTCCTAAGCATAGATAGATAAAAACCTCATATGACGTCACTCTCGCCTCTATAATCATTGACGTTATATGAAGATTTTATCTATCATGCTCAGGAATATAGGAGACGACATTTTCCGTACATTGCAGCACATAAAGAGTTACCAACGTTATTATTCAACATTGGATTCTTCTATTCGGTCCTGATGAAGTCATGAGTGGTTCCAAAAAACGTTTGACGACATCAATAAAGCTTTACGTTGATGGATTTATTGGATCCGGATGAATTAAAATAGGAAAGTTCTAGCGTTAATTAATTTTAAGAATATGCGGCATTGTATGTGTAGAGTTTAAATAATAGAATTTTGCTAATGTTTCTGTAGAAAAACATGTTATTTTTTTTTTATTTCTGGCGCGAAATTACGAGGAAAGAATAGAAATACCTAGAGTACGAATTCAATTCTTCAAAAAAATTTTTTTTAACTTTATCAAATTATGAAAATACAGTCCTTAAAGTCCTTAAATTGACAAATTGAAAAGGTTGAACATATAAAAAGGAATTTTGCTAGAAATCGAAATGATTATTGTTAAGATAAAAATGAATATTTTTAATAAGAAGCAACGATTAAGTTATCATAAGAAAATTTTTTTTTGCATGAAAGCCTTATTATTATTTTTGACATTTTTTTAGAAGAAAAATATAAAATCACAATTTCAGATAAAAACATATTTAAAAATTGTTTGTTCCACTTTCACGTCGTTTTTTTTGAACCCCAACTTAAATTTTTCAATAAACTTTTATTGTACTTTAATCATATTTAGTTGGTATAATCATTTCAAACTAAAATTCAGTCCAACCATAGTTTTCCTAGAATTATGTTTAGAATATTCAAAATATTTAATTTCTGGAATAAGTTGTTCACAAGAAATTAACTTGAATTTAATTTAAGTAAAATTAAATTAAAATTAAATTATAAAAATTAGGAATTAGAAAATTAGAAAAATTATGAATATTTCTACATTGTTTAGGGCCAAACTTTTGGGTAAAAAATTTGTTTGGGGGTAAAAAATTGCTTTTGTAATCCAACTTGCACTTTTATAAAACTTACAATAGATCTGAGGTCTGAACTTTTAAATAAGAACTGAACAAAACAAAGTATCTAGTTCACAGCAAAAACTTGTAATCCGTAAAAAAGAGCTGATTTTTAATGTTCAGGTGGGGGGGGGGGAAGAGAATATTTGTCTGCCTCTCATTGGTCGATGTTAATTTTATAAGAAGACAAAGCTCAAAAAAGATATCCAAGAGGGATTAAACCTAATTTATCGCTCTACAAAGTGCTTTAAAAAGAATAAACTGTACAAAAATTAAATTCCGACCTTGTTTTTGTTAACAAACGAAGTTTTTCTTGAACGATAATCGGCTTGGATCGGTTAGAGAAAAAATAACGATTTAAAATAGTTCAAATTAAATTTAAAACGATTGTTGTTTTACTGAACGAAATAATGTTCCCAAATATTTTGAAAAAAAGATAGTATTTTTAATGAACTAAGGTTTTTTTAAAGAACTTTTTAAAAAACGCTATTTTTTACTCAATGAACGATTTTTTCAAACATATTTCTAAAAAACGATCGTATTTTTACTGAAAGATCGTGAAGTGAGAAAATGAACGAAATAAATGAAAATGAACGATAATTTTGTGAACGAACAAATCATTTTTTTTAAATTGAAAAAAAAATGAAAAAATCCGAACGCGTCTTTTTCTACCTCATGGTGACAAATTTATCATCCATGAAATTGGGATACCAGAAAGGGAACTAATTTTTATATTACGACAATATATACAGACTACTGATATTTATATATTCAGGAGTCTGATGATTGACAGCTGTCGAGTGACCAGCCAGAAAGGGAACTAATTTTTATATTACACTGAGATAATACATTTGATTTTAAATGAATTAAAGGGAGTGTAAGCGTATTTTTGAGTGAACCTCCCTTGATAGAGTGGCATGGTCGATTCACAATTGTACCCTTAAAGATTTGTCGTGTCAAGTTTTATATAAATATATCTGCATGTTTGTTTTTGAAAACTGACTTGTGCATTTTTTGATTCAGAAACAAATGAGAAATTAACGGAATTAAGCAGTTTTCAGGCTATTAGTTTTTATGTCCTAGCACTTTCATTTTGACACTATCACCGTGAAATTTTGTGACTTTTAATGAAAAGTAATTAAAGAGTTTTTGTTAAATTTTTTTTTTAGAATTTATAGAGGGTAGGGTAAAGGGCGAAAAAAGTCCGGTCTGTGACTAAAACTACAGATCTAAAAACTATAGTTTAAAAAAGTCCTTGAATAATGAATGTAGAAACATGTGTCACACTTTTATATTTGATTAAACCAAAAAAGATTTTTTTCTCATTTTATTGACCCTATTTTAGGTATTTTTCCCAGCATCCCTAACACCCAAGCCATTAAAGTTATCGGTATAATTTTTTTTCTTTGAGCTGGCCATGAAAAATTAGGCTATGAACATGAATACCCTATACCTATTATCTTTTTTCTAGGAGACCCCCCAGCCTTTATAGGGTTAAGAATCTTCTAATTCCGGGTCACTTACAAATACAATTACAATTACACAGTTCTCTAGACAATTGTATTCTTTTAATCATAAGAAAAGAAATTTTAGATTGTAAAAAAGTTTATGAAATTACAATTTTTAAAATGGAAACATCCACAATTTCCTTTGTATAGAATAATATCTCAAGCGGAAAATGTCAACTTTTGTAATCTTTTGATCTTAAAGTTTTCTTGTCTCTATCTCTCTATCTCTCATTTCTAGATATCGAAAAAGAGAAAATGTTTTCTAATTTTGAAGAAGCCTGAATTTGCCATTTTCTATTCCGTTTAGATTGCTATATTCCAAGAACAATTTATAGATAAGCCAATGTTTAAAACTACCATTTTACATTCATCTCTGAAAATGAATCACCGAAAATTATGTAATTAAGTAGTACAGGGTTTCTCAACAAACATGGGTGAGTCTCTAATTCCAATGCGCTTTGAACTATCCACAGAACTTTTTAATGTTTTGATCCAGATAAGATAGATTTTATAAAAAATCCTAGCATTGAGATCTATAAATCTGGTCGTACAATTTTGTACATCCAAAATTAATTCAGATAGATAGTTCAAATTTTAACAAAACATAAAAAAATTTAAATCAAAATCGGCAAAATAATTAGTCACACTGTGAATTCAATAGTTCCTGAAAAAAATTTGATTTTATGTTATTACATAAAGGTGAATTATGATTATGAAAATATTAAAACCTTTCATGACAAAACAGAAACCATAGCCAGGCTGCTAAGGAATTTTTAATTAAAATTTTTTGAATTTTCAAAACCTTCATAAAAAGTTTTCCTGCATAGAAAATATTTTGTATTTTGAATTTTTGAATATTTGTTTAAACCTTAAAAGAAAGAATATTTTCACTATACTGAACTGAAAACTTTAGAATAGGATATCCCTAATCCCAATCGGTTAATTAATCTGAAGATTAATAACAGGAGGAGAAAAGCATTATTTAATCTGAGCTGGGAACTTTTGAATGGTGGATATTGGGATTAATGCTTGATCCACTTTTTTTCTTAATCTTGAGATGAAATAATGCTTGTTCTCCTCCTGTTATTAATCTCCAGATTAATTAACCGATCGGGATTAAGAATATCCCATTCTAAAGTTTCCAGCTCTGGAAATTAAGAAAAAGAGTGGATTCACCAATTAACCCGATATCCACCATTCAAAAGTTTCCAGCTCTGGTAAAACATTATTAAAAACGTAAACAATTGTTAAAATGTGATTTTCCTATCTAAAGATTCTTTTGGTTTATTCTCTCGCTCAAAAATCTATGAGAATATTCCCAATTACTTTTTTAAGACCATTAAGCTAATACACAGTTCTGGAAAGAACATGTCTATGTCTACAAAAAAAAGAGAAGGCAATTATTAAGGTACAATCAAAGCCAAAGGAACTGCGAGATTTCAAAGTCGACTCTGTCCTGAAAATGGATACAACTTCTCATGACTGTCCCTAGAACTCTGTGATTCTTAAATATTTTGTATCTTTTACTGAAGAATAATAAATTTTTTCTATCGATGTAATCTGTCACCAAGCTTTTTTTAAACCTGAAAAATGAGTTTGTTCGAATAAATTTAAATCGTTCATTTTTTTTTCGTTCGTTTTAAAATACTATTGATTTTTTTCCTTTCTTTGAACGATCCAAGTCGTTTGTTCATCATTCGTTATATTTTTCTGAACGACACCAACATTCACGAAAAATTTCGTTTGTTCCCCTAAACAGTTCCCATCTCAAGGTGCTAGTCCGAACTCTCGCAAGATTTAGACCTGGTGAATGTGATATATTGATAAATCCTATTTCAATAGTTAAACATTTTTTTAAAATTTTGCAGGTGAAAAAAAATATATTTAAAAAGTATTATTGCTTGAAAAACAATTCACACACTTTTTGTTTTTTAATGTAAACCTTTTTTTACATATAATCCGAAATATCTCTTAAGTTCTTTACGCAACATGGTTTCTAACAATTGTCTTTCCAGCAATGATATCTGGATTGTATATACCTGAGAAGAAACTTTGTAATTTCCTGTGTAGGATACTGTTTAGCGTAGTGTAGAGGGGTGTTTCCATAGGAATCCGCTCTATCCAGGATACACTCATTACAGGGTGTTTAATAATAAGGGATTAAGTACCCTAATTAAAGGGTGTTCAATAATAAGGGAATGTACCCTAATTACAGAGTGTATAATAATAAGGTATTGTACCCTAATCACAGGGTGTTAAATATTAAAGGATTGTACCATAATCATAGGGTGTTCAATAAAAAGGAATTGTTCGCTCGTCACAGGGTGTCTAACAATGGGATTGTCTAACTACTTGAAGCTACATTTTTCATTAACTCGTTTTTTTTTGTATAGAACTAGCTGCTTACAGGCTAGTTCAATATAAGAAAACTAGCTGATGTTCTAATTTCAAATGTCTGTCCGATTCAAACAAGTTTATACTCTTAAACCTATTGAGACTGAGGCCTATTTTAACAAAAAATAGACTGGGGGGTCATATTTACCTCCCCCCGTCATTTTTTTAATGTGATCCTTAACATTTCATTTTGGAAAACACTTGGACTTTTAATTCAATAATATGCAAACAAATCCAGCAATTTACTGCAAAATTTAGCTCTTTGGAAAAATGTTCGAAAATGTGACAAATTATACATTTTTAAAAAGCTGTTGACCCAACGAATAATTAAACTTGCAATCATAAAACTAAATGTGTATTCAAGAAAAACTGAAAATGAGCAAAAACTGTGCAATTTGTTTTTCATTTTTATACGCTTTCCAGAGAGCTATAAATTGTTAAAATCCAATGACTAGAAGAAGATTCAAAATTATATTTAGTCTGTTTTCGGAAAAAAAGGCATCTAGGGAGTATGCCTGAGTTATGTGGACTCGAAGCGGCGAAATAGGTATATAAGTTCAGCTTTTAGCTGAAAGTGAGGAGCAAGTATTAGTTAGAAAACCAAAAAAATTTCTTAGCTATTTACGCTGCGACTACTCGTAAAAAAACGACAGTGGGGTCATGTTGACCTCCCCCAGTCGGAAAAGGGTAAGGGGTAATTTGCTAAATAATATGTGGAAGATATCGTCATTTTTTTAGCTTGAAAAATTATCATAGTTGCAATTGCAAAAGATATATATTCATGGATATCTCATTTCATTTTTGATCAGACGAGCTTTCATTGCTTCATATGCCTGCAGTCTATAAAGGTTGGGTCACTTGAAATTATATTTACAGTGTACAGTGTACAGTGCTGCAGTCTATAAAGGTTGGGTCACTTGAAATTATATTTACAGTGTACAGTGTACAGTGCTGCAGTCTATAAAGGTTGGGTCACTTGAAATTATATTTACAGTCCTTTTTAAATTTGCACTGCAATGTCTTTTCAACTATTTTATTGTATTTGAAAAATTACAAAGGAAATAGAACTCATTAACTCAATTGGAGTTTAAAGTTTGAAGTTTGAAGTTTCAAGGTTTGAAGTTTGAACATCTAAAACTAAAGCTGAAGAATTTTAGTAGATAGGAAACAATGGGTAAAGATTGAAAACAATGACAAAGATGATAAAAAATGACAAAGAAGGTAAACAATAACAGAGATTGTAAGCAATAAAAATATTTTAATTAATAAAAAGGATTGTAAACAATGAAACAGATGGTAAACAGAGACAAAGAAGGTAAACAATAAAAGAGATTCTAAACATTTAAAAATATTTTAATTAATGAAAAAGATTGTAAACAATGACAAAAATTGTAAGAGATGACAAAGATTTAAAATAATAACAAAGATTGTAAACAATGAAAAAGATTGTACACAATTTATTTCTGAGCAGGGCTGGACTAAGGGGGGTGGGGGGGGAGCTGGGCCTGAGGTATCATTCTCTGCTAAATATAGTCATGGTAAAAGTATATTTTTAGAGATGATTTATTACGTTATAACTTAATGTAAACAAACCTTTGTTGTTTTATTATTGTTGTTAAAAAACCTTTTCTGCACAAAGGCAAAGATTTTATACTGATATTTGTATCTTCTCAGGCAAACCTTAATCTTTATCATGTTAGGTACACTTTCTATCCACATATCTATCTATCTTATCATCCAATTAGAAATGAACCCTGAAATAAGTGTATAAAAAGTAAATTGGAGATGAACCCTGAAATCCGTGTATGAAAAGTAAATTAGAGATGAACCCTGAAATAAGTCTATAAAAAGTAAATTGGAGATGAACCCTGAAATAAGTGTATAAAAAGTAAATTGGAGATGAACCCTGAAATCAGAGTATAAAAGTATCAAAGGTAAACGAAAATTTGTAATTCTACGAAAACCACCTCTATCTTTTGATAATTTATAAATCATCCTTTAAAGGGACAGACCGGCTATGTAAGGTAGTTAAACAAAGTATGCAGTGTTGTGGAAAAATTCTTTAGGATTCATTTGAGATATATTAAAACTTTTTAAAGATCTGTAAATCCTGAGTTTAGCGCAAAGTCGTCGTTCAAAATCGTACTTTTGGGTGGATACGTTTTCAGAATCGTTTCATCATTATATTGAATTTCTTATTTTCTTTGTATTCGCAGATTTCTTTAAATTCTTCAAATGTCGTCTTTTCAATAATAATTCTAGAAAATCTGCGAAAATTTTTGTGAATAATGAGAAACCAGAATAATGAGAAAATAGAAACTAATAATTAAACAAGATTACTTATTTTCGATAATAAGATTGATTTTTTATTTTCTCAACCTGTTCCTAAACAACTAATTAGTTTGCTGTAGAACTTTTTTACATTTTGTGCCGTCGTTATTTAATAATTAAAAAAAAGAAAATTCTGAAAACGTAACCACTCAAAAGTACGATTTCGAACGTCGACTTTGCGCTCAAACTCAGTATTTACAGATCTTTAAAGAGTTTTATATGTCTCAAATGAATCCTAAAGATTTTGTTCACAACTCAGTTCAACGAGGGGAGGAAGGCCTGCCACAAACATTTCTAGTCCGAGCCACATTCTTCTCATTTTCTCGTCCGAGCCACCTCGCAATCCTCGTCCTTTGAATATTATTTCTTTTAAAGTGTTTAATTCTCCAAAATAAAACAATTTTCTAAGAATCGGGTCACGTAAGAGCATAAACGAAATATTAAACTTTCGTAAATCGAAAAAATAACTTTCAATAGAATTACAGTTTTTGAGTGCAATGTCATGAAAAATATTCACATTTTTAACGCGCATTTTCAAATAATCAAGGTGTAGAACTTTTATAGAACTTTAATCACTTTTGTTAATTATAGCGAAAACCATAGATTTTTTTCGGGTGGTTCCCCGGCAAAAATTATAGGCAGAGGTATGCCAAATATTTTGCTATATATTTTGTATCACGAAGGTTGGCTATTACGGAGGCAAAGGATTCTTTTAAAGTTTCATCTAAATAGATTTGACATCATTTTCACGGCTTTGAAGATTTCAACATGATGATCATTGCTATACTTTAGTCCATCCATATTTTATGCCCTAACGTGGCCTGATTTTTAAAGAATTAGAAACTTAAAAACACATAATAAGCAAAGAATGAGGAGAATGTGGCTCGGACGAGAAATTGTTGTGGCTGGCCTTCCTCCCCTCGTTCAACTACCTTATATAGCCGGTCTGTCCCTTTAACAAGGAGTTCTAAACTCAATCCCATCTATATATGTCAACCTCTGTTATGAATGAATTCCTGTTTATGATTGCCATCATCGAATATTTGAGTCTGATGCTATTCTCCTTGAAGAGACAGTATATAGTTTTCTCGTTAACAACTCCACACTCCTCTCCATGTACAAGTATCTAAGATAAATAAGAAATCCCTGTTTACCAAAATACGTAAATACGCATCGGAGGGGCCCTTGAATATAAAAAGAATGCATTCCCTTTCTTTGTGTTACTAATACTGAGATGAGATTTTAAAAGCTTAAACCCGACTAAAACCTAGTCTTTGCGTCTGCTTAGACCCAAGTAAAGCTCAAGTCAAGACCCGGGTTTTGGAAGGCCTCGAGTTTAGTAAGAACTAACCCTCTTGGGTTTTACTCTCTTTAAGGCTCGAGTCTTCAGCAGCTGATGATTGTAAATTTCGTAAAATCTTTTATATTTGTACATTTAAAATCTCTGGAATTATTTGTGGTGTCAAATTTTATTAATTATATAAAATAAACATACTATGAAAATAATGTATCTACATAAAGTTTGAACTTTCGAAATTTACATCTCCTTGTCACAGCTGATCTGGCGGCATTATGTCTGCTACAGAGATAAAGCTTGTAAAACTGTCTCTCATTGGTCGAATCAGAACCAATCCTGACTTGGGTTCTATCTAAGCCCGAGTTTGGGTTTTAGTCGGGTTTAAGCTTTTAAAATCTCATCTCTGGAAACATTTCATTTAGTGAATATGTTTTAAAAATATTTAAGAACCAGCGTCCTTTCATTCCTATTGACGTTGTAGATTGTATATCATAGAACAAACCTTCCTGCAAGAATATCCATCATAAAGGAATATCTTGCAGATGGTTTACAGAGAGGTTTACAGAACATGTAGTATCAAACATGAAAGCTACTATGATACTATCCTTGAAATTTTTAAAGTAAACTAACAACCTTACAGGAAACTCAGAGAAACATACTTCATTAATAAGTTCAATAAGTTCAAGGCATGAATAAGAAGAGATAGTTTAAACATTTATATATCAATTTGTTCTTTATATGATTGATTATACACGTTAATACATAAAAAACGTTTTATTCACATAAGAAATTGTAATATAAACACATTATAATTAGAAAACCCTGTGTGCCAAAGTACAGGGTGTCCCACGAAACATGACAATTGGAAGACGACTTGAAAGTCGTCTTTTGTATTTGAATTTATTTGTGACATTTAGTCTTCTATCTACTTTAACATGTATGATTCTTGAAACAATTATCACATAATTCTCCTAGCCCTGGCATTTCCAAAAAGTGGTCTGCGTTTTTTGTGCTTTCAATATTTACTGAGATATAAAGAGTTTGGTTCAGATTTCAATTTTGTTAAATAAAAGCAAAATTGTCGAAATCTGAACGAAATTCTTCATATCTCGGGCAATAATGAAAGCACAAAAAAGGCAGACCACATTTTGGAAATGGCAGGACAAGGGAAATTTTGTGATTATTATCTCTAGAAATTCACTTCTAAAATTAAGTTGACAAATAAACGCAGCAAATTATATCAAAAATCAAGACGACATTCAAGTCGTCCTGCATACTGTCATGTTTCGTGGGACACCCTGTATGTAAATACATAAAACATGCTAATGTTTTGTTTACATGACACATTGCTAAATAAATTACATATGTTGTGCAGTAGCTAACGTAATTATATAAATTCATTATTTAATAGGGAAGCAATCTCATTAACAACACCATCTTCTACCTCAGAACTGAATCTTTTTTAATGCTATACGAATATAAAGCTCCATACTTAATGTTCGTAAGCAAAACATAAACTGAACTTTCTTATCAAGAAATAACTCAACCAGCAAGGAAATAAAACCACCTATAACACTCCTGTATGCCGAGTCCATTAGCGCCTGATCCAATCAGGGTTCAGTCATGTGTTTGTTGTCTATTCTGAACCAATAGAAATGTTTGGCGGTAACGTCTATCTTTCTATCTATCTCATTATCCAATCAGAGATATGAATCCTTCAATCGGCGCTATCAGTAAATGGAAAATATGGTGCCTAATAATATAAACGAACTACTTGGTTTTGGTTAGAGTAAATACAGTGCATGGTACGATCCTCTCCATAAGCGAGTATCTAGATAAATTGTTAAACCCTATATTAGTTTATTTAAACCATATATACTACATTAAGTTGTGTTATATATTAACTTTTTACATATTATATTATTTAAGTAAATCTAACCTTGTTATAATATCCAGCTTTGAGAACAACATGAAGGATACTCTGTTGGAACTTATTCTCGACCAGGAAGTCTGTATTGAACTGTTTAAATACTTCCACAACAAGGAAATATCCACGGATAGCTGCCAATAGAACCGGAGGCGTAGATCCTGATCATAGAAATAATACATTAGAATTACTTCCGATTTAAATTTCAATTTCTACCAAGTTACCAAACAACATGGATACACGTAAGCATAGAAACAAGGAAAATCTGTTTCTCTTTGTTAACTTGTAAGCTTGTAAATAAAAAAACTTATTAAAAATAAAATCTTTAACAGAAAAGTTGTCTTTATTAACTGTGTTAAGATATAAACGTCGGCCACTGTATTCAACCTGCAATTGAGCCGGCGACACTGTTCTTGGCCGAGGTAGCGTTTGGATCAACATCTTTCCGTAGCAGGGTCAATACACACTATATAATACAGATTTATCATTTTAATGCAGATTTAGGTATTTTCTTCTTGCATTTCCAACTTCTTGAAAAATCCCATGATTTTTTTTAATAGTAACTAAAATGGAAAATGTTTTAATCTTTAAAAGAATTACAGAATAGATTAGAAAATCTTTATTTCAAAAAATACTCCGGAGGAAAAAAATTGCAAAGATTTCAGCTGCTCAAGAATTCACATGAGGATAAAACCATCAACATTGCAGAAAATTTTACAGATAAAGTTATCCAGACAGAGTTCTTAGAGAAATGTTAAAATTGACAAATATTGCAATTGGAGTTGTATCCCAGTGTCCCTGTATCCACGTATCCACGTATCCACGTATCCCTGTAATCCTGTATCTGTATCCAAGTATCCCTGTAACCTTGTATTCCTTTATCCTTGTATCCCTGTATCCCTGTAGCCTTGTGATTCTGTTTCACTATTTCACTGTCTCCCTTTATCCCTGTATCCTTATATTCCTGTATCCCTGTAGCCATGTATCCCTTTATCTGTATCCTTGTAATACTGTATCCCTTTATCCCTGTATCAGCTGTATCCCTGTATCCCAGTATCCTTGTATCCCTATATCCCTGTATCGTATCCCTGTATCCATGTATCTCTGTATTACTGTATTCCCTGTATCCCTACATACCTATATCCCTGTATCCCTGTATCCCTGTATCCCTGTATCCCTGTATACTGTATCCCTGTATCCCTGAATCGTATTCTCTTCATGTTTAAAGATATCTAAGTCTAATGGAGTATAAGTGTTGAATTTCTAACTGAGAAAGGATTTACAAATCTAATTTATGTTAGAAGTGATATTTACATAAATGCATTTACTACTTTATATCAAAAACATATTATTATTTTTAAAAGTAATGTTTTACTTGTATAGCTAGATCTATAGATCTACCAACAAATATTTCATTTACATTAACATTAAAAAAAATCCCGATTCTAACAAAAAAATGTGTTGCATCGGGAGCAAAATCGGCCTGTAATCCGACAGTGTATTCTCACCAGCCAAAACCAAACCTTCTCACTTCCTAATAGAGAAATTAATTATCCCCTGAAGGTAAACTGCCAATCAGAGATACTTTATGAGGAGTTTGGTTTTGCCTGGTGGAAATACAGTGTAATATGCATAAATATGTTTGGGTGTAAAAATGTAAAAATGATATGTTTTGTACAATATACGAGCAATATATATGATTAACGCTATACATTGTCTGTTCATTAATGATCTATGTGTCAACTTTTGCATGAATAATACATTATATTGTTCCACAGAGCCATGTGGGGGAGGGGGGGTAAAATAGTAAGTAATAAGCAACCTAATTTTATGACGCTCGAACACAATGTCATTAAGCATCATTAAAAAAAAAGCGTAAATTAGTTTTTTCATTTTCTAATAAACAAATACGTATATTAAAAACTGAAGAAGCCAGCTTGTTATACATTTTCTTCATAATTAACACAAGATTAAAAGTTTTTAAAGAGTCTTTAACCTTTGCGTTCAATACAAGACTTTACATAAAAGAAGAAGAGGGGGAGGGGGGCTCAGAATAGATTCCTTGCAATTTCGCTAATTTTTGTCAAAAATATATTTCGCAAAAAAATCTGAATTTTACCTCTTCCAGTTTTCTGTGCAAAACCATAGAAATAGGTCGCGCATTCCAGGTCTTAAGTAAAAATAATTTTTAGGGAGTGTTCGCGAAAAATGGAAGGTTTTTTTTGCTTACGGCAAAAAAAAAGGCGCTTTAGATCGCTACTAATCTTACTATCTGTTGCGTCTATAAGGAGATAATTGTTAAAAACGACTCATACTGAAGGATGTAGCGGCCATACAAAATAAGAAAGTTGCAACATTAAACTCGAATCGTAAAATAATCAATTTAACTCCAAACTAATCATTCAGATATTACGACCAATAGAAATCGACTTGTTTTCAACGTATTCGTATAAAGTTAATATTACATATTTTTATTTTATTTTGGTGTTTTTAAAACATTATTTCGCTGGCGCTGAATTTTCGAACATTCCTGGAAAATGTAAAATGGTCGTCTTCATTATCAAAAATCCACGAAACAGGAATCAATGTTTTTAAAAGTAACTATCAGATCATAAAAAATAAAAAAATAAATATGAAATACCAACTATAGACGAATTACGAATGCGTCGAAAAATTATCGATGATTATTGTTTGTAATATCTAAATGATTTCTTTGGAATTAATTTAAGTTTTTTTTACGATCCGAGTTGAATGTTGCAACTTTCTGAATTTGTATGGACTCTACGTTCTTCGGTATGAGTAGTTTTTAACAATTTTCTCCTAATAGACGCAACAGATAGAAGTAAGATTAGTAGTGATCAAAAGCTTTTTTTCGCCTTTAGCCTATACCTACTTTCATTTTTCGCGAACACTCCCTTTAAGGGAGCCAATTTACACACTCCACACCTTGCGTAGCTAAATATTAAACTATCTATTACTATAGAATTCCTTATTTCTTTTATGGCTAACTTTTCGTTCTCAGAGTTTAACACATTTTATGCTTTTTAAGAAATATTGCTAATGTTTCGCACAACCTTCTTAAAATAAATTTGCAAAAATTGGACGTTTTATGATTTACTAAAAAGTATTTTGCAGAATTTGTTACGTAAGCATTTTTACTATATTTTGCTTAAAAAGAAATTTTTTCAGAAACTTCTTTTAGGTAAAACTAAGAATGATTTTTTTTCAAATTCACATGAGAGTATCGATTGAACTCCTCCCCCCCCCCCCCCCCCCCCCCCCAAGCGGCATTAAAAACTGACCTGAAAACTACAGAGAATTTGAAGGGGGGTCATGGTCGCCAGTTTTTTGTAGGACTGCTTATTTAATAGCTTAGGGTCACTTATATCTGTAGCCTGAACATATTTAGAATAATGTTTGAAAATAATTTTCAATCGTGAAAACTAATATTTAAACTTATCCATCCAAGAATCAAGATCGAGAATATACAGGATTTTCTTTCAGGGGTTTGGGGGCTTTGCTTTCTGAAATGGAGGGTGAATCCCCCCTTTATGTAATAGCTTCAGAAACCCCCATGATACGCCCCTTTGTTAGGCTTATATATATATATATATACTGTCATACATTATATCATGTTAAATATTGCAAATATCAAAGGTCAAAGATCAAAAAAGCTTTTGTATCATTAATCCCTGTAGAAATATAAATCCGTATCCTTCTTGGTTTGGCGGATTAAGTAAAAACCTTTTGGATATTTATTTTTGATAATGCTAAAATGTCTGCTCAAGTGGCTAATTATAGATTGTTAAATAAGAATCTGATGTTTTTACGGATAAAATCTGTTTAAATCAAAAGTTATCACTGTGAATATCGAGTTCAGCTGGCTTAGTATAAGCGTAATATAAGCGTCATCACTCCAAACAAAAGTTTAGACCTTAGGCTTAATTTGTATTAATCTTTGTTCCTTAGAAGAAGTGTCAAATAATTAACAGATTATAAGTTTCACCAACAAAATAATTGAGTTTTTGACACAAACCTAAATTTTCCATAAATCTTTGCAACCTGATAGCGTAAATATGGGATAAATTAAACATAGATTAATTGAATTAATAGTTAAAATTATCTAAGGTTTACGATATTGGGTGGCAAGGATTAGAAAACCAGAGTTTGTGATAAAGATTTAATTCCTTTAGATGTATAATGTAAATTATAGTAAATTTGCAGGACGCCGTATAAGAAACTGATTACTCGCAACAAACTATAATTTTCTAAACTTTAAACTTTTGCACCCTTATTTCGAGAACTATTTGTTGTTTCAATGACATCGTCAAAGTAGAAATATCTATATAAGGTTTACACCATCAAGTTGAGAAGATATATAGATAAACAAAAATAATGTTAAAGACAAGAAATAAGTTCGTTTTCACAACGCTCTTTCATACATATATTATATATTATATGTACATAGCAAATTTGATTAGTTGAGTAAAAATTAATAAACTTGCCTCGTCAAAATTAAGATACAGCTCTCGTTGTTTCAGTATCAAAGTTATGGCCTCTGAGTACAAAAATCAATATTTTTTGTAAAATTGGATTGTAAAACCTTACTCGAAAATAATAAAGAAATGTAAATATTAAAGACGTAAAAAACAATGGTTTTTTAAATAATCATAATTCTTTTCTTCAAAACTTCTAATTAAATCTTGTTTTTCTTCTTTTGTATTTCATCTTCTTTATGTTCACAACAATGAAGTAAGCTTCAGATTATTATAAAAATCAAATTACATTTTTCTTATTCAAACTTTGAAATATATTATTTCCTAAAATATCCGCAATATCTTTCTCCAGTGAATCATCGGCAATCTAAATAAAAACCATAAATAAAAACTAATATTACTAGGCATTGGAAATCGTGCCAAGTAATAATTGAGTCTATATACAAAAGCTCTTCGCTCTTAAATATATGTTAGTTATGGCTGGCCCAACAGCTAAACCAAATTGGCTGAACTTTTTTTAGAGAATCCATGGGTACCCCGGTGTTAACACACGCTAAAAGGAATTGAGTTTTTGCAACAAACTCAAATTTTCTAACCCCTATAGCTTTGCAACCTGATGGTGTAAAACTTTGATATTTCAAACTAAGACTATTTGATCTCACAGAATTAATAGTTTGAAATATGAAAGGTCTAGGAGAATGGGTTGCCAAGTTTTAGGAATTAGAAAGTCAGAATTTGTTCCAAATACTCATTTCCTTTTTATGAAATTTTTTGAAATTCCACAAGTAACACTGGACATTTTAGCTAAAATCAAAAAAAAAATACAATTTTGCTATTTGGTTTTCGCGAGAGATGGAGAATGTTTGCATTCCGATCGGATAGCTCGAAGACAAAGTCTGAGACACACTTGGACTGAAAGATGTAGCTAGTAATGTATCCAGAAGTAATTTTGTGTCTATACATTCTTTGGATTGTATAATTCTTCCATTGATGTAATACCAAGCGCGGGTAAACGGCGTGAGTAGCTTAACTATGAGTGATAATGTAAACCTGGGGAACGCTAGGTTCTTCAGCCTGTTTATATAATAAAGTTCTTCGCTTATTTTGACTGATTTTTTTAGAATTCATGGGTCCTACCAAACTTGGGGGTAGCCTAGGCCAAACATAGACAATATGATGCCAGTAGCAAATACTCCAGAGAGGCCCTGGAGGAACGATGTAGAGATAGATTTCGTATGAGGTAAAATTCAAGTTTCCTGATTGACTGGTAGACTACAAACATTTGAAACATCTTTTATTCTGAAAGTCTACTCTCTAGTCGATCATGTGAGGTGCCCCAACAGTTTTGGTCAAATCGGTTCAGCCGTTTTGACGTTTATTTGGCACAAACTAGTAGTCGGACAAGTCACATGTTTTCTTAAATTCAAATGAATTATTATAGGAAAAGAAACAAATTAATGGAGTTTTTAGAATGAAAAAAACATTTACTCATATAAATGATTATTTTTCAGTTCCAAGAAACGTTTCGATTTCTTCATCGTTTCCATTTATAATTATTCTGAATGTGACAGACTTAGTAATTTATTTCAGTAATATCATATTAAGAAGACTTTTTATCCCCAGATATATTTTATTTTAAACTCTTATACACATAATTCTGAGCTAGTTTGTAAATTTAATAATTTTTTCGTGTTTATGAATATTCCCAACTAGGAATTTAGGAAAACTCCCGACTAGGAATTTAGGAATTCCTCCAACTAGGAATTTAGGAATTCCTCCAACTAGGAATTTAGGAATTCCTCCAACTAGGAATTTAGGAATACCTTAAACTAGGAATTTAGGAATACCTTAAACTAGGAATTTAGAATTATCATATTAATCCCCACAATGTGCGACAATAAAGAGACGGTCAAATTTTTGCGTCGATTTATTGCTACGGCTTTCTGAGATCGTAGCTCCTCAACTTTTGATTAATTGCATAAACATAAGACTGATAAGACCAAGGTACTAATGCAAGGAAAGTTATTTCAGAGGTGTACGCATTTTTTTTACTGCAGTGTACTGTCTTTGGGCGGAAAAGTAAACACAGCCTGACATGGAATCCATTTTCACAAAACTAATCTATGAAATATTCTGGTCATCGGAAACTTTTATGAATTCTTAAAATTATCAAAATTAAATGCTTTTATTCTCCTCGGATACTAGACGAACACTGATGCATCTATTCTTGTTTACAAATTCCGCCCAGAGAGAACTGGTTTCAATATGTACGCAGAGTATACGCTACAGCAATTAACATTCCTTGCATTATAACCTTGGATAAGACAAGCGAATTTATCCGTTTATATATAATTAGAAATTCAAAACATTTTGGATCTTCTCAATATAGCTCTTTAATTAAAGAAGTTATGATTAAAAACAAGAAAGATTTTAATCTTTCTTGTAGTTTACTTTAGTAACACGTCTCAACTAACCTTTCCCGGTCTTGACTCTTTAGGTTTGGTTTGTAGAAAAGCTAGATCTAGCAGTTGAGCAAGAAGAATATGAAGTCCGGTTAAACCATATCTGTTCACAGCATTTACATCAGCCTGAACAATATTATTCAAAACTACGAGGGACTGTATTATTTCAAGTGAGCCACCACATATAACAGCTTTGTCTGATTAAAAACGAATGCGATATTCATGATTTATCTTATAAAAAACATGAAATTTCTTAAATTTGGGTTCTTTATAAATTTTGCTACAAAACTGGGAAAATTAAACAGTTTTCAAGCTAGAAAATGACAATATCTTCCACAATATTCATCATAGTTAAACCCTAAATATTAAATACATTGAAAGAGTTTATGAAATGTCGTCTTGAAAATTTTTCAATGGTTACGTAAATCTTAGTGTTTGCGAAAATAAATAAATAGCCATAAATATGCGGGAACAGTTTAAAAGAGCTCCATATAATGTTTTAATTAAAAAACTAAATATCTGCAACATTCCATTATCAGAAAGTGAAGAATACGACATTTGATAAATTCTTCCGATGTATTCAATATTAAGGGTTTAACTGTATAAAGGGTGTGAACCAGGCAAACCCTCTATAAATGAAATTCGAGAGAAAATTTTACTTAAACATCTTCTCGATATTCATGACAACGGGTGTTCTAACTGCTAAGAACATGTTTGACAACTTTATAAAGAATGATCAAGGTATTTTATTAAAACTATTTCCAGAATCATGTGATTAGGCTCAATAATGAATGTCAACCAGCTGTTACCTTTTTGTAAACAAATTGTTATATTTAATGGGACACCCTATATACTCTAAAGAAGTATTAAATGGGACACCCATATACTTTATAGAAGTATTTTATGGGAAACCCTATATACTCTAAAGATTTTTTTGGGACACCCTATATACTCTGAAGAAGTATCTTCTGGGACACCCTATATACTCTAAAGAAGTATTTAATGGGACACACTAAAAATCTAAAGAAGTATTTAATGGGACACCCTTTAAACCCTAAAGAAGTATTTTATGGGACACCCTATATACTCTAAAGAAGTATTTTATGGGACACCCTATATACCCTCAAGAAGTATTTTATGGGACACCCTATATACTCTAAAGAAGTATTTAATGGGACACCTTACAACTCTAAGGAAGTATTTAATGGGACACCTTACAGCTCTAAAGAAGTATTTAATGGGACACCTTAAAAATCTAAAGAAGTGATTAATGGGACATCCTTTATACTCTAAAGAAGTATTTTATGGGACACCTTATATACTCTAAAGAAGTATTAAATGGGACACCCTATATACTCTAAAGAAGTATTTAATGGGACACCCTATATACTTAAAGAAGTATTTAATGGGACACCCTATATACTCTAAAGAAGAATTTTATGGGACACCCTATATACTCTAAAGAAGTATTTAATGGGACACTCTATTTACTCTAGAGAAGTATTTAATGGGACACCCTATATACTCTAAAGAAGTATTTTATGGGACACCCTACAACTCTAAAGAATTATTTAATGGGACACCCTACAACTCTAAAGAATTATTTAATGGGACACCCTACAACTCTAAAGAATTATTTAATGGGACACCCTACAACTCTAAAGAAGTATTTAATGGGACACCCTACAACTCTAAAGGAGTATTTTATGGGACACCCTATATACTCTAAAGAAGTATTTAATGGGACACTCTATTTTCTCTAAAGAAGTATTTAATGGGACACCCTACATGTACAACTCTAAAGAATTATTTAACACCCTATTTACTCTATAGAATTAAAATCTCGTTAAAAAATTTTCGTTAAAAATAATTCTAAAGAATTTTAAAAATTACAGTCATCGGCGTTGTTATCCATAATTTGCGATCATGTTATTGTAACTTCAACTTTTTTAAGTTATGATTATCAAAATTTGTTTTGAATTTTAAACCTTCCATGTGGTTTTTCAGTTTCTGCATAACTTTAAAAAAAAAGAGTTTAACTAGCGCTCAAACTTCTACAATTTTTTGTAATTCAAATTTTTGTTATGCAAAGGGTAGAGTGGAGAATGGCCGTGTTCGCGAAAAATGAAAGGGGGTATAGGCTTACGGCAAAAAATAATCGCTTTTGATCGTTACTTATCTTACTTCGATGTCTGTGACTGTTGCGTCAATAAAGAGAAAATTGTTAAAAACAGCTTATACTGAAGAACGTAGAAAGTTGAAATATACGACTCGGATCGCAAAAAAAATTTATTTCAAACAAATCATTCAGATTATGTATACATCCTATAGTCATCGATTATTTTTCGACGCATTCGTATATAGTTAATATTTAGTATTTATTTTGTATACAATGCACTTAAAACGCCGAAATAGTTGGCCGTCAGATGTCTCTGCTCTCGATGCTTTGAAGGATAACATGGCAGAGACACCTAGCCGAAAAAAAAGTCGTTTTAAGTGCATTGCATATGAAACAAATACAAATAACAAATATTATGAAATATGAACTATATACGGATGCGTCGAAAAATAATCGATGACTTTAGGTTGTAACATCTAAATGATTTGTTTAAAATTAAATTTAATATTTTACGATAACAGTTGTATATTTGCAACTTTCTGAATTTGAATGGACGCTACGTTCTTCAGTATACATAGTTTTTAACAATTTTCTCCTAAAAAGACGCAACAAAGATTTAAATGAGGCAGACGAATAGAAAGGAACTTAGGAAGGCAATACAGAAAAAGTGGATGAACTAGAGCATAACAGAGAGACTTCAAGGCAGAGGACAACAATAAATCGAAAACAGAGACTTTGATAAATTATTTCTTATAGTTTGCTTAATATTATACTCAAAATCAAGATTTTTATCAAGAAAAACGCAAAACATTTTTAAAGTTTCTAAAGCTTAAGGTTAACAAAGTTTTCAAAGTTAAAGATTATTTTAAATCTGTTGTATCGTGAGCAAATAGAAAGTTTAACAGGGCGTTGCTTTAAACAAAAATCGTTTATAAAGATCAAGAAAAGTTTGGAGAAGGTGAAAAATCTGGATAGATCTGGATAAATCTGGATTGAAAAATAATTATAAATGTGCTGAAAGCAATTTTTGAGAGATGATATCCCAAGAAATGATTAATATTTTTTTTGTTCAACAACACTCTATTCTTTATAACAAAAACTGATCAAAAGATATTAACTATGTTTATTAGAATTAATAAATCTTTATATTCAAGAATCATGGCGTGAAAAACATCGTTATAAATTTTACTTGATTTTGAGTATAATATTAAGCAACTTTAAGAAATAATATATCAAAGTCTCTGTTTTCGATTTATTGTTGTCCTCTGCCTTGAAGTCTCTCTGTTATGCTCTAGTTCATCCACTTTTTCTGTATTGCCTTCCTATCTATTCGTCTGCCTCATTTGCGCATTACTTCTTTATAGTTTTATTCAAACATGATGTTAAGTTTTCAGAATTATTTAATTTATTTTATGATTAATATATTTTTATTAGTAATCATGTGATCAATGACCGCCTCATTTGAAAAGCTAGTTTTGTTATGCCCTAGCACTCTCATTTTTACACTATCACCTTAAAAATAATTCAATGATTTTTAGCTAAATTTTTGTTTTAATGCGGCTGAAAGGCCGGTTGGTATAAACAAAAAATCTTTTTATAATTTTTTTTAATTCAAGCATCACGTTTAAAACTGACATCTTTGAAAGCCCTCGAAAAATACATTCAAACACAATTCTCACATATTAAACATACTTAATATTTTTTACATTTTTCCTACCTTTTTCGCCATTGTTTTTAAAACCTCCCTAGCACCCGAATAATTGAAGTTATATGTCTGATTTTTTTTTTACCTAGTTGGCCTTTAAAAATTTGACTATGAGCATGTAATAACAATACATACCTTTACTCGATGGACCTATTCCAGGGGGGGGGGCAGTCTATAGATAGCTACATAGATTCAGTTCCCCTCAGTTTTTACAGGGTTAAGAAGTTTTGTAAACCTTATTTTCAGGATATTTGAGAAGAAGTTGAATTGCTCCGAGCTTTCCTTCATCTGCTGCCACGTGGATAGGAGAGGACTGCAGCTGCGGGTTCTGATACCGCGCACTAGCACCAGCCTTAACATTTAACAATTGCGGCATTATGCGCATTTATGTTTTTCCTTTAGGTAAAGATTCTGTACAATGTACATTACAAAATAATTTGAATAGGGGATTAGAGTTTTTTAAATGGAAGTAGGTCTGGGCAAGGTTAAATTACAGAGCAAAACAATTTTTGAAAACTAACAAAAAATTCTGATAACAGATGAAATCTAATTAAGCAAAATGTTACTTAATCATTTATTCAAACTAATGGTTAACAAGTTCTAATCTTAAAAAGCATTAACGCCCCTGGCTTTTATCAGTCTAAACTTCTAAATTGTAGCTCAGGTAGAACACCTGTTATTACTTTACCTGGAGCAGTATATCAATATACTCCAGGGTATCATGATCATCCTCATCTATTGCCAGGTGAAGAATCGTCTTGTATCCAACCTCAAGAAAATATAAATAAAAACTATACTAAAAACCCCCACGGTCATTTTGCATGGACAATGGACATTCAACGTACAGGCAGCTAGAGCAATTTAAATCATAGAGAGGTCAATGTGGCTATTTTCACTGCGCAGTATTACCATTTTCTCTTTAGTCCTTTGCTCTCATCTTTTACTCTATGGACCATTTGCTCACATCACATTGTTTCTTTCACTTTAAGTTTATGCGTTATTTTCTCTGTAAAGCTATCTTACCCCCCATTTAGTCCTAGCGGCAGCGCTTGGTCCCCTCAAGGTTAGAAGCAAGGAAAGTTATTTCAAAGGTGTACGCATCTTTTGTACTGCAGTGTTTTGTCTCTGAGCGGTAATGTCAAAGCCTGACATGGGATTCATCTTTCATATAAAAAATCAATGAAATATTCTGGTCATAGGAAACTATTATGTGAATTACCAAAATTATCAAACTCTTCGGATGCTAACGAACACTGATGCATCTATTCTTGTTTACAAGTTTAGCCCAGAGAGAACTGGTTTCAATTTGTACGCAGAGTATACGCAACTGCAATTAACTTTCCTTGCATTTTAACCTTGGGTCCCCTTTAGAGTTTCCACGAAATGGCTAACTTTTTTGCGCAAAATGTGCGCTATTTTCGCGCAAATTTTTTTGTGCGAACTTTTGCGCTATTTTTGCGCATGAAACGCAATGATTTTTTTTTGCGAAAGTTGCGCATGAAACGATATTTTAGTTTTGCGCAATTTGCGCAAAATGTAACTTTTTAGGCAAATTGTCAAAAATTGATATGCTAAGCTTAGAATTAAACAGCTGAAGATTTATTCCATACATAAACAAAATATTAACGTACGAGTATGATAACGATTATACTACACTCAATTGGTTACTTCCAGTTACAAAAAGTTTAAATTAAGGGACCAAAATTAATAAAATAGAAATTAGAGAGTGTGAAACTTGGCAATATTTTAATCCTATTTAATAATTTCAAGTGACCCTTAAAAGCTTTGCCTAATCAAGTATGAATTATATTCTTAGATTTTTTAAATCAAAATTCTGAAATCTTTTTAATCTCATATAAAATAATGCAAGAAAGTAACCAATGCCTGAAGAATCCACTTTTAGAAAATATGCATGTCTAAAACTAAAATTGTCGAGACTTTTACTGGACAATCTGTTTCAGATTTTGGTACAAAACCTTCCAACACTGGAGAACACTCGTTTCGAATCGGTACTGCTGGCCGAAATCGATTCTAAATCCAGCTTTAAGCGGAAAACTCTAGTTGCGGAATTCCGCAAAACTTGAGTTTCGCAAAAGCGGAATAGGGCAATTTTGCGCGAAATGACTTTTGCGAACGATTGCGGAAATTGTTGTTTTTTCGCGCAAAACTGATAAGCAAAGAAAGAAAAATTTTGCGTTTCGTTCCGCAAAAATTGCGCAAAAGTTTTGCGAATGGAAACCAGTCCCCTTATCTTTTCCAGCGGCAGCACTTGACTCTAATAGAAACTGATGGTTGGGGGATCAACATGAATTTGTAAAGGCCAAACGGATTAAATTTATTCCTGATTCGACCAGAAAGGTTCCACCCTTAATTTCCGAAAGTTTTTAATGTTTTATCATTCTTTAGAAATTAAGGAAAGGGATTTTAATAAATGCCTTTTGTTTGTTTAGGGATCAAAATTGATCCACATACAACATTTCTAAACTTTGCTGGGTATGTGTTTTCTAAAGAATGTACTCCAAAGATATCTTGTTTTCTCTCTTTGATCATTTTTTATTCATGAAGAAAATATTTACTTACATTAGTCTTATTTTTCAAAAGTATAATGTAAGTGTTTACATTACAGCAACCCACACAGTTCTCTTTAGGGCTGGATATTATTCTGTTAACAAACACCAAGTTTTTTAGGACATAACTTAAAAAAGTATTCGTCTAAGGTTGTTTACATTTTTTGACATTTTTGCCAAGATATTTTGCATAGGTTTTTGCACAGACGCCTTTAAAGGGAATTTGCACATATTCAGTTTTCATGAAATAACATTCATTTTTTCAAAATTTTGCAAATAATATTTGTTGGATCAAGTGCTTTTTAAATATGTATAATAATAATATTTTTTTGTTTTTGCACATTTTTGCTAAATAACTGAATTTTCCAATAAATATTTAAAACTTAGAAAATTTGCAATTTTTTGCAGATACTTAAAGTATAGTCCAAGGGTTTGTATCACAAAAACGAATATTTTTGGGTAAGAGAGACGTCAGCCTAAACAGTGTAAACGAACAACGCAAAACGTAAATTTTTAAATCGATAATAAATCCTAGTTCTCTCTACACATTTTTTTGTCCCAGCAAATTAGTTGCCATAATCCTCTAGAATTTGAGGTTTGAATTTAACACGGCAATCACACGCTGTCTATACTAGCCTAACAATAGATTAGTTAGCTACAAACAGCAAAACAAATTCTGCCCCCCCCCCCCCGGACAAATCCTGAATACGCCCTTTGATAGCTTTATCTAGCTTTATCAAGTTACAAAAAGACAAACTGCTCACCTCTTTTCCATACTGTGTATTTAAATCATAATCTATATCTTCTGCCGCCAAAACCTGGGCCCTGAACTCATCAAGCTCATTATCCTCCAAACATCGAGCTATTTCAGCCTAGATATAAACAGTTTAGCTACATCAAACTATCTTAGCCTTAAAATGGATAGTTTAGCTACTCAGCCTAAATATAAACATTTTAGCTATATCAAACTGTCTCAGCCTAAATATGGATAGTTTAACATCTTCCAAACATCAAGCTATCTCAGCCTAAATATGAATAGTTTATCTTTCATTCAAACATCAATATCTATTTTTCAAATATCTTGTTTATAGTTTATTAGAATGATAAAAGAGAAAAATATTGTTCTCAAGTGTTATTAATATGCAATATTTTAGCTTGAAAAAGACAACTAACGCTCTAACAATATTGTTTAAACCACAATTATAAAATTATCGAGCATGTTGGCGTTCACTAAGCATCTTAGATTTTTCATATAATACAACCAGAAAACTGTGGAAACTATTCGTCTCTGTTCTTCCTTTTACTTGTTTAAATGTCGCATAAGAGCTTTGTAGTTTAAACTTGTAGCATTTTATACACATCTAACTATTTTAAGGGCCATCGTTTCAGAAATAGTTAAATTGTAAATTACAAAATTATTGCGACCGTTTTCTGGTTCTCAGGGTACACTTAATCACAAGCAAATAAGGTCAACGAATTTAATTCCAGAAATTATCATTATAAATCCTTTTAGAACAATTTTCTGAGTTAGTCTCAGCTTTTGAAATTCAACAATAGTTGAAGAAAAATCTCTAACAATAGATGTTTAAGAAGTAGATGTTTAAACCCGTATAATAGATGTTTATGAAGTAGATGTTTAAAACCATATCTAATGTTCACAGAGTGACCTATTTTGTGTTCAATTCTCTATAATACTACAAACAAAACAGATTCACAGAAATATTTTAAAATCCTTAAAAATATTTTTGAAATAAAGCTATAACAAAAGAGACTTATGAAATCCCAATAAAAAATCTTCGTTTCTTTCTCTTTTTTCTTCTTTTTATTTTTAATTGAAACCGCCATCGCATTTACGACGGCGGAAAACCAACTCTGGCGAAGATTTAATGTTAGCTGGGCGAACAACGCCTAACACTTCAGCTAGTTAAGAATATGATTTTATTTAATCATGATTTTAGCTGAAGTTCTTGGCGTCACACTCGCGTTTCTCGTGGAATTTCAAAATATTCCAACTTCTTTGTCACCACCGGGTTTTATAAAGATACAACCTTACTATTTGGAATTTTAAATTTACCGCCAAATGTTTCTGGCTGATTGCTGCCCGCGGCATTTTCTAAAACTGGTTTCACATCTGAAAAATTGTTTTGTATTTTAGCAAGATATTAAACCCTTCTTCCCCGAATCACGTTTTCTTGAGTTAGTATCTTTTAACTAAATTTTTACTAGGTTTGAAAATGTTTAATTTTGATTTTCTCGTCCATTGTTTTTGTAGTTAAAATCTGCAAGTCACTTTAACGAGAAACCACTTTTCATTCTTGAATTGAAAAATCTTTTAAGGGTAACGTTGTGAATCGGATATGCCACTTTTTAGCCTATATTTTAAACACCTATTTCCCGCTAAATATATTACGTAATACTGTCAAAATGTATTTATGATAACTATCTATCTATTCAAGCCTGGATTTCACAATAAAGACTGAGGTTTATCGTGCTTTCTATTTACTTTTGTTGGTTCGTTGCTATACGATCGTTTCTCGGTCAAACTATCTTTCTGATTCATAAACCTTGAATGATAAATAATTAACACCCAAAGCAAGCAGAACCACGTCAAACTAAAGTAACTTTCACGTGAAATTGAAATTTTATATGTTTTAAATCAGAAGGCCTGACTCCTTTTATTAAAGATCCAGTATATTTCATGAATTTTACTTAATCTCCTTTTATCTGCTGTTCTAATTTTAGCATGGTTTTATTTGATGTACCTTGAAAAAATTTGAAAAAGTTAAATTTAATGTTAAAACAAAATATGATTTGGACCATAGGAAAAAAGTCAATCTATTGATTCGGAATGAAATTTCAGAGGTTGTTAGTTGTGTCTTTTGATACTTATCTACGCTTCTTATGATTTTTTGTTTGTTTTGGGTGTATAAGGATCGATCTAGTTTTTAATTTGTAAATATATGCACTAGTCAAATGTAGGGTTTCAAGATAAATTTAATTGTGCAAAAAATCATAACCTTTCAAGGGTTCTCCCAGGTACCTTAGGTAAAATATTTACGATTAGAAAGAAATATATTTTTCTAACAATTGCTCTTAAAAACACCATTTAAAGATCTAAACTGAACAAATAAACTATAAGGTCGGATTCTATATGGCATTGGCAGTCTTAAAGTATTATTCTTAAAACCTCGAGAAATGGTAGGATATCACGAGAAATAAGCATTGAAAATATTATCTTGAGCATAAAACGATGAAAAATGATCAAAATTCATGCTTTTTCTGCTACGTTTGGAGAATTATTGAGGAAAATATACCAGCTAGACAATAATGCAAGAGTGCAAAACATACCAGCCTTACTGCAGAATCCGACCCTTTGTTCCATTTCTTTAGTTTAGGGCTTTAAATGGTGTTTTTATGAGCAATTGACAAAAATTTATAGTATATGAGTATTTGTATAAGAAAACAAGGGCAAAACCATGATACTTAATTATCTTTTTAGGCTTTACACCAAATATTCGTTCTCTTCATGAATATGTTACCTAAGGTACCTGGGAGAACCCTGAAAGGTTAGATTTTTTTACAATTAAAATTATCTTCAATACCTCAATTTGACTAGTGATATGCATATTGCTGATTTAAAATAATTTTTTTTTGGTCCGAAGCTATTTTGGGATTTTATATTTTTATATTTGCCGCATATTTTTGGACAATTTTGTGCTACGCCTACATACCTCTAATTAATAGATCGGAATGTCAAAAAAGACAGGTTTTTGGGCACACTAATTTTTCTAAAAAAAATCTGGAAATTTTGAAAAAAAAAGATTCAAGCAGTTTTGACAAGAAAGAAATTATTCATAGTGAAATCAGTTCTACTAACAAAACTAAAATGTAAAAAGTAAATTATTGTTTTAATTATCTAAAAGTGCAAATACAGTTTCTATGTTTAAATATAATAATATTTTGAAATATTTCTAAATGCAAGTTCTACATGTAGCTTGTAAGTAGAAATTTAAACAATTCTTCAAATATAATTAGGGTCTGTTGTGAATGTGATAATTAAACTTCTATCTGATCAATAATGTGGAAAATATTGTCGTTTTTTCTGGACTGTAAAGTGTTTAATTCTTAAAAATCTTCCTTTTTTTTAAGAAAGAAACCCGTAATTTGCTTTAATAGAGACCCCGAAGTTAAAAACAATCCATCCGTAGAACTTGAATAATTTCACCATTTTTGCTGATACAAAGGTTTAAGAAGTACCTTTGTGTATCAGACATTCCTCTATATACATTGAATTTAAAGAGTACCATTGTGTATCAGACATTTCTCTGTATAAATTGAGTTTAAAGAGAACCGTTGTGTATCAGACATTCCTCTGAATACATTGAGTTTAAAGAGTACCGTTGTGTATCAGACATTCCTCTGAATACATTGAGTTTAAAGAGTACCGTTGTGTATCAGCCATTCCTCTGAATAAATTGAGTTTAAAGAGTACCGTTGTGTATCAGATATTCCTCTGAATACATTGAGTTTAAAGAGTACCGTTGTGTATCAGACTAAATTGAGTTTAAAGAGTACCGTTGTGTATCAGATATTCCTCTGAATACATTGAGTTTAAAGAGTACCGTTGTGTATCAGACATTCCTCTGAATAAATTGAATTTAAAGAGTACCGTTGCGAATCAGACATTTCTCTGTATAAATTGAGTTTAAAGAGTACCGTTGTGTATCAGACATTTCTCTGTATACATTGAGTTTAAAGAGTACCGTTGTGTATCAGACATTCCCCTGTATAAATTGAGTTTAAAATAGTGTCTATAGAGTCCTTTTATGCCAAGGGTTTGTCGCTTTTCGATAATTAAAGAAATAAACGCTTAAACACAATAACACAAAGATTCATATTCTCTGAATAATTAATTTTGGTTTTGTAATGCAACTGGAGTCTCAAATAATATGTATATTTGGGAAAATGGAAACCATTAAATTTTGTATTTATCAATGAGTGTTGTGGCATTACAAACTCCACTGGACGGCAAGAGAATGTCCAATGTTATGCAACATAACTAGAATGTTGTCTAGGAGAACTTGAACTAGGCGAACAAGTACCATGGCACTACTTATAGGAAGCTTTACTACTAGGAGCCACTCTTGTAGGGGTTCACTACTATAGGAACCACTCTTATAGGGGTTCACTACCAGGAATCACGATGGAACCACGCTTTGGTAAGTAGGAACCACATTTAAAAGGGTTTACTACTAGGAATCATGGTTATAGGGGTTTACTACTAGAATCCACTCATAGGGGTTCTCTTTCAGGTATGCACATATGTTTTTATTTTTGAAGGTAATCATCTTATCGTCATATTGGACATTTATGCCTAGTTTGTTTTGTGAGGTGCGGGGTTTGAACCTGGGACACCAATCCACTTTCTGGTCGGTGGAAAGTGTGCCTAACTACAGTGATCTAACGAGAACTGGTCTAACACCCTTAACTCACCTTTATCTATGATATCTTATTTCTCCGCCATTATCTTTAAATCAAAATTCTTTTCTTTATCTAGACATCTAACATCGTCGCCATTATCTTAATATCTAATATCTCCGCCATTATCTAGATATTTAATATATCCGCCATCATCTAGATTTCTAATATCTCCGCCATCATCTAGATATCTAATATCTCCGCCTTTATCTAGATACAAAATATATTCACCATCATCTAGATATCTATTACGTCGCCATTATCTTAATATAAAATATTTGCGCCATTATCTAGATATCTAATATCTCCACCTTATCATGATAAATAATATCTCCGACATTATCTATATATCTAATATCTCCTACATTATCTAGATATCTAATATCTCCGCCTAATCTAGATAAATAATATCTCCGCCATTATCTAGATTTCTAATATCTCCACCATCACCTAGATAAAAAATATGTTCGCCATTATCTAGATATATAATATCTCCGCCTAATCTTGCATTCTAATATCTCCGACATTATCTATATATCTAATACCTCCGACATTATCTATATATTTAATATCTCCGACATTATCTAGATATCTAATATATCCACCATAATCTAGATTTATAATATCTTCACCTTTATCTAGATATCTAATATCTCCGACATTATCTAGATATCTAATATATCCACCATAATCTAGATATATAATATCTTCACCTTTATCTAGATATCTAACATCTCTTCATTTATCTAAATATCTATAAATATGATTGCCTGGCCCGACATTAGATTTCATTAGATTTTTTACAGATAAAAAATATGATTTTGTTAGTACACTTACCAGTTTTACAATCTTTAAACTAACTTATATAATTAGATTTTTTCTTGTATCGAATTTGAAACAATACCATTGGAATTTCCAAATTGTGCTTAATTCTATCAAAGAACTGATTAAACTATGATTATACAGAGCCTGTGCAGTGTGGTACGTCTAAAACAGATTTCGGCCTGTGTATGGTAGAACTTTTAAAACAGATCTAGCCTATGAATGAGTGTATTTTTAAACTGATCTAGGCCTGTGCATGGTTGTACTTTTTAAAATTAATTATTTAATATTTATAAAATTATCCTGTAAGATACGAACACATTAAGTAACAGTTTGTTTTAAACTAAATCCTGAAGTTAAGTTTCGTTTAAGGAACTGTAAACGTGATTTCCAATATCTCTTTAAAACTGGAATGTTCGAATCTGTACGATGTGCGTTAAACTTTTTTATGAAAAATTGTCCTTGTAATCAAAATTTATAATATTAAATAATATTTCTTTTTAAAAGTGCCTTTCTCATTCATGCGCGCACAAACAATGAAGGAAATTTAATGAATTTAACATTTTTCAAGATAAAATTGACGATATCTTTCGCATTACTCAAGTATAGGGGTATACCGTATTATTGTGAATCAGACAAGCCCTCTGTAGATGGAAGATCTACCTTGTCATTATAATTATAAGAAATATAACGTCGCCCAGTCCTATCAGTGTCGTGGACTGATTAGTATATACGCACTACGCATCTATAAGTAATCCAACTGAAGCGAAAAATATTAGTAGTTTTTAAACCTCGCTGCATGCAACATCCAGGCTAGTCTAGGATCCCATGAACTCCTTGAAGTACCTGACGATGGTCACCCGTAGCAATCAGGTCGCCAGCATGAAGAAGTTAGTCGTAGTCATCTTGTTCTCTAGTTCTCTAGTTCTATCAGATCCTGTTCCCAACCCAGGTTAGAGATAATAGTTTTGTTTTCCAAGGGACTGTAAAGGAAAAATGAAAGGGGGTATAGAATGAAACCTAAGAATCTCAGGCGTTTAACGTTTCATATAAAGACATCTATCTGATTTATTCATAGGAAAATTCATATACATACAAGTTTATATAAAAGTTGTAGTATTAAACATATCATATTCAGCATATACGCAACCTATCTGAAAACGACGATATCCCACAGGAGCCTGAGCCTGGGAATCTCAGGTTTGCTCCTATTATTATTTTTATTTTTATTTTGCATTTTTAATAGATGACAGTACAGTATACTGGTCACATGATTTCCGTTTGTATCACGTGACAATGATACTGCACTGCCATTGGCTGAAGTTCTTGTGACGTAATACGGACTATACGGACGAGATGTAATTAAATTATAAATTATTTCTATTAAAAATGCAAAAAAAAATTAAAAGATAGAAGTTTCATATGTATCGTTTTACGCCTGAGATTCTCGAAGTTTTCATCCTATACCCCCTTTCATTTTTCCTTTACAGTCCCTCAAAGGGATTGTTCAGATGTTTTAGAAACAGGTATAGTATTCTAATGCAATGGAAAATATTGCAATACAGTGGTCCTCAGAATGATAGTGTAATGAGTCCACACTTCACTTGGATAATATATCTGAGCGCTTAGACTTTCCCAAAAAACACTTTAATAAAAGTACAATAGTTTATATTTGCTCAAACAACATACATCTAAAAATAATTTTTTCTTTATTGAGAGGACTGAGAGATTGCAGACATAATTTCATTTACAGAATTGTATGTCCAATTCAAAATAGTATCCTTAAAAAGGTGTTTTCATCAATGAGATATCCATTTTTTTATCTCAAAATATACAAGTTTAACAACAGAGACAATTAATGAAATTTAATAATTGCTTATTAGGTCAAAGTCCTTTTTGGGGAGATGAAAATTAAAAAATTAGAAAATTTTGCATTTTAATTAAAAATCTTTATCAATTTAACTCCGTCATCGTTTATTTGTGTTCACTCACTCCCTTTAATGGAAACTCTAACTTTCTACTTGATGAACTAACTTCATTAGAATTCTTAAAAATATATTGTACTCAAGAGGTATCATTATTCAAAGATAATATTTATAAGAATATTCTGAATATATGAATATTGCAAGAGAATATATGCATTTATAAGTTTGTAGATGCACAGGCAGTGCAGTATACTAGTCACGTGATGCAGACGGAGACACATGACAATAATACTGCAATGCCATTGGTGGGAGTTCTGGTCACGTGATACGGACGTAATAATTATATTGTCAATTATATCTATCAAAATGAAACAATATTAAATTTAAATAAGAAAAGGAGCAAACCTTAGTTATTTAGGCTTCTCTGGGATATCGTCGTTTTCAGATTGGTTGCATATTTGCTAAATAATGGCTATTTAAAAGTTTTAAATAAATTTCTTGAGACGGGAACATCAGCTAGAACTATTATGGGTCTCGAGCAACTCCTAAAATGCTTAGGTTTTAACCTTTACCCCCCTTTATTTTTCCTTTACAGTCCCTTCAAAATTGAATTTACACTCTACAGTCCCTTTAAACCTACACTTGTTTGTATTGGAATTCCCTGTATTTGAATGAATACTGCTTATCTTTTTTTTTCTTTTTTTCCAGTTGAAATTGATGAACAATCCATTTAATTAACATTAACAATCTGTTCTAGATGCAAACCCTGATCCACAAATAAACTCTCTGCTGACCGACAGAGCTCTAGCCGGCCATCCACTGGCTCTCGGCGGCCATCCACTGGGACATCCGGTCATGCACGCCAGCCACAATAGTATTTCGGCGGCCACCGCTGCGGCTAGGAATCCGCATTCTGGACTTCCTTTTCTACATCCGGTTTTACATCCGACACTTCCCATTCCTTCCATTCAACCAACACTGCAGTCCCATGTAAGGATAAATAGTTTTAAACTTTTTCTCCTTTTTACTTCGAGAATACTAATTTTTGGCATCGTCCTAATTTTAGAACTATACAACTAGAAGTAGTTATCCAAAAAAGATTAAGTAAAATTAAAAAACTAACATTTTTTTACTATTTGATAAATCCTAGAGATTCTCTGTGGAAGAGTATACACAGTGTGCTTGAAGGACCTATAAGATATAAGAAGAATCCCATGAAAATGTTTTTTTGAGATTCTGAAAGAGCTCATCAAGCCGAACATTTTGCGCTATGTCGGCCCTTTTTCCTTGGACGAATTTTTTCGTAATTCGCATATTGGAAAAGTAATGATTTTTTTATTCATTTTTTAGGTATTTATTTAGAAACTTACTTTGAACATTTTATTAAAAATACCCGTATTTAGATGTTTTAGGTGAGGATATAATTAGAGCTTTTTTACTCTGTACTCAAGACCTTTAATTCCCCGTATCCTTTACTCTAAACCTTTCAATACGCTTTATTCTTAAACCTTTCTTATTCTTTATCCTGAACCTTCCTATCATTATTTTAGACATTTCTCCTCATCCTTTAGAACCTTTCAGTTCCCTTTACTATAGACCTTTCCCCCAATCCTTCACTCCGATACCTATCCTCATCCTTTACTCTAAACAGTTCCACATCTTTTACGCTTGACCTATCTTTTTTTTACTCTAAACCCATTCACATCCTTCAGGGTTTATTAGTAAAGGTTTGATAAAGGTTCAGTATTAAGAGAATTTCTAGGACTAGTGTAAAGAATAAAGGGAAAGGTCCGAAGTAAAAGGACAAGAATAAAGGATCAAGGGAAAGTTATAAAGTGAAGGATAAGGGGAAAGGTCTAGGGTAAAGGGTATGGCAAGGACAAGAGTAAAGGATTAGGGGAAAGGTTTAAATTTTAAGGGTATGAAAAGGACTTGAGTAAATGATAAGGGGATTAGTCTAAAGTTAAGGGTTTGTGAAAGACGGAAAGACTAGAGTAAAGGATAAGGGAAAAGGTCTAAAGTAAATGATAAGGGGAAAGGTCTAGATTAAATGATAAGGGGGAAGATCTTGGGTAAATGATAAGGGGAAAGGTTTAGAGTAAATGATAAGGGGAAAGATCTAGAGTAAATGATAAGGGGAAAGGTCTAGATTAAATGTTAAGGGGGAAGGTCGGGGGTAAATGATAAGGGGAATAATCTAGATTAAATGAATAGGGGAAAGGTCTAGTGTAAATGATAAGGGGAATGATCTAGATTAAATGATAAGGGGAAAGGTCTAAAGTAAACGCTAAGGGGAAGGAGTAAGGTGTAAGATTAGAATAAAGGAAAAGGAAAAGTCTAGAGTAAATTATATACATAGTACATCTAAATACGGATTTTTTTTCCAAAATGTTCAAAGTAAGTTAAATAGAAAGAGCTGAAAAATGTCAATAAACATTATTTTGCAAATACGCGAGTTGCATGAAAATTCGCCCATTGAAAAAGTACTGACATATCGCAAAATGTTCGTCTTGATGAGCTCTTTCAGAATCTCAAAAAAAGTTACTTAGGATTTTTCTTATATCTTAGAGGTCCTTCAAGCACACTGTGTAATGTGTATAGCATTAAACTTTTAATGTTTTTTGTTCATGTTTCAGGCTTTATTTTTGGCTTTGAAGAGGCCTCACAATAAAATTTTACATAAACTGTTCGAAGAAGCCCTATTATTAAAGAACTTAAACTATTGTTTTTCTTAACAAACCAAATATGCTGTTGTTCATGAACAAACGATTTTGGTGAACGAACGGTTTTCCTGAAATGAACGATTTCTCTGAAAAGCCAAACACGCCCAGAATATCCCCAAACTCTACTGTTCTATAATTTCGAAATAATTTCATGAGTTCGATATTATTAAGAAAAAACTAGTAGATTTTTTTTTAAAGATGTAATCGTAAGTTGAGTAATATTATCTAAGCAAACATTTAAACTAACAATTTTGAAATGATCAAGCCTTTTCGTAAAAATAAGAATTGTCAAATTACAAGATTTGTCATGTTCAACATTTCACCCAATTTATTGATATGTATTTTATGTTCTAGGTGCCTGTTGGAGCTTGTCGTCTTATCTGTTCAATTCTTGATTTATTAGTGTTTAATCCTGCCTTTTCAACCTTTATATCCCTGGTAAAAGCTGGAAATCTTATATCCCTACTCTCCCAGCCTGGTCCATTAACAGTATTCGCTCCAACAAACGATGCTTTTGATTTAATTCCGGCTCCACAATTCCAGGCTCTTTTAGGGGACCCCGTCGGCTTGAAAACCCTTCTTTTAAAGCACATGACCAGAGGTGTTATTCACTCTATTGATTTACCCGCTGGGGCGGTTCCGTTGATTACCGGTGCTGGGGAGCGGGTAACGGTTACCAAGCTACCAACTGCCGTCACAATAACGAGTACTAGCGGTATTTCCCGGATTGTTGAAGCGGATAATGAAGCTAGTAACGGCATCATTCATGTGGTCGACAAAGTGTTTTAATTATTCAATTTTTAAACATTTTCATAATAAACTAATATATTTTTCGATTGTCAATTATGCTATTTTCAAAAAAAAGATTAGAATACTAAAAGACTGTGATACCGCTTTTTACTGAATTTTTTAATTTATAACACATTTCATAGAAAATCAACGAAAGTTGTTAATTCAATTCAATTTTTTTTTTGTAAAAATATAAAAACTATTATAAAACAGGATTTCATTTGAAAAATATAAATTTACTCGAAAATTGGCAAAATCGTAATTTGGAATTTTCTGAAGAAATTGAGTCTTTGCCATGCAAGCAAATCAGGTTTAAAAGATATATTGATTGATAAAATTTTTGTTTCTGACAAAGGCTAATTTTCTTTAAAAATTGAATGTGTAATTGCAAAAAACAATGGGTGTATCAAACCATATTTTTAATGCGTTTTTCCAAAACGAATTGAATCTTTGCCATATTAAACTCAAATTTTATAATCCCCATATATTTGAAACCTGATGGTGTTAGTCTTTGTTATTTCAAACCTTTGTTATGTGGTGGTTTTGAAAGTCGCCTTCTCTCCTCTGAGCTCTGGAAACCTACGTGGCAGCTAGAAGAGCGGAGAGGGAGATATATTTTTCACCAAAAAATAACTTTGTGCCTTAGAAGGAAATGCATAGAGTAATAAAACGAAGAGGTGAAGCTTAGCTCAGATGTACACAACCGACCTGTCTATTAATTAATTAATAGACAGGTCGGTTGTGTACATCACGATATGTTTACGTATTTAACGCTGTACACTTGTATATAGAGCGATCGTATTTCTAAAGGGGGATTTTATGGAATTGACCATTTTTTAGATTTCCTTTCTTTATTTAAAGAGAATTCGAGGATGTTGATTGCAAACATTTGACAGTTTTCAAATTTGTAGGTTTTCAATTTATTAGCTAAAAGTTCTGTCAAAAATGTTAAGTTTCTAGGGCATGAATTTAACTTAAAACATTCTTATTTCAAACATTTTTTATTGTTTCTTCTCTTCAACTCTTTATCATAAACATGATAGTGTATGCAGGGTTACCCACACAGATGAAACAACGATGACGACCTGGAGCTCCTAACCCTAAACAGGTGGGGGGGGGGGGGCATTTGGCTCCCCCCTCTAGTTTTTTGACTTTTCATAAATAGAAATTTAAAGGATTTTTTGGTAATTTTTTTATGCCTAAGGTAGGGTGCAGGGCGATAAAAAAACCAGAGTACGTAAAAAAAATCTTAAATAGCCCATAGCTTTTTTATGACTAAAGCTACAGATCTGAAAACTATAGCTTTGAAAAGCGCTTGAAAATGGGTGTAGAAACCTGTTTCACACTTTGATATTTGTTTTAAACAAAAAATTATCTTTTACATATTTTCGACCTAATCTATCTAATTATCAATACTAATATTCAAAAATCTACGTTAAACCACTCCATAGAAATACGATCGCTCTATACAGCATTAGATACGTAAACACATATCGTGATGTACACAATCGACCTGTCTATTAATTAATTAATAGACAGGTCGGTTGTGTACATCTGAGCTAAGCTTCACCTCTTCGTTTTATTACTCTATGAGGAAATGTATATACAGTTATCTTGAGACTTTTGTCGTTATTACTCAACCACTAAATTGGTGACCCCGAGGTGGTATATGTATTTTCGTTTCATTAGTCGTTTTCAACCCATCCAGTTGCATTAATATTTTGTGTTAATACTTATTTCAATACACTTTTGCTGAAGTTAGGTAAACCTGCCTCCCTGTTGTTTTCATAGGCTTTTTACAATGAGCAAAGTTGTAAGTTTGACAGTGTTTATTAAAAGTCATAACTTGAGTCTCAAAGTCGTTTTCCTATTCCAGAGTTTTCTGGTACTTACTGTTGGGATTCCCAAGATTTTCACTGGAGACCCCAAGATTTTCACTGGAGACCCCAAGATTTTCACTGGAGACCCCAAGATTTTCACTGGAGACCCCAAGATTTTCACCGGAGACCCCAAGATTTTCACTGAAGACCCCAAGATTTTCACTGAAGACCCCAAGATTTTCACTAGTGACCCAAAAAAATGGGGATTAAAATAAAATCTGGGGGTATCCATAAAAAATCTGGAGATCTCTGATGTAAATCTGGGGGTCTCCAATGCAAATCTGGGGGTCTCCAATGCAAATCTGGGGGTCTCCAATGCAAATCTTGGGGTCTCCAATGCAATTCTGGGGGTCTCCGATAATAATGAGGGTCCCCGTTAAAAGGGGGTATCTAATGTTGATGATCTATTTCTAGACTCACGTTGAACTTCTTTTCAGGCTTAAATTGACTTAAAAACCCATAATTTACAACAACAAAAAAATGGCCTTTTAAAAGGTACATTTAAGAGTTAAACTTATTACGTAAAAGGGAAGCAGTATCAAATATTTGACTAAAATAAAAATCATGAACAAAATCTAATTATAATACTGCGAAGCATAATAGTTGCAAAATATTTTCATAAAATTTCTCTATTTAAAATATAAAATAGAAGCTTTCTTTGTTTATCTTAATTCTCAGCTTAGGATCACAACAAACTTTAGAGATATTTTAGATTAGTTAAAATTACTTGAAAACCATTTAAAACTTTGTCATTTATATTGTACAACTAAGGGCAATACAATACAAACAGTGAGAATAAAAAAACTGAGAAATTAATGTCGACTTTACTTAAAGAATGTCTCTAAAGTTGTTGTAATACTTTTACATCTAGATATGTAATTTCCAATAGATTAAGTATAAAATTATTGCATTAGATTACATGTTATTACATTTTTATTTAGAATATCACACTGTACCATTTCGATATTATAACAATGCAGAATCGTGAAGATTGTGGATTTTTTTTAAAAAGATTTTTTTGGTGGAATTTTTTCTTAAAAGAGGAGTGCTGTCATACTAATATATGAAGAGGTTGACGCTGAACTTTTTATTCATTTTTTATTCATGTTTTTCTTCATGTTAGGCACTTCATATACAAAGAGGATCCTGGGTGATTTCAGAGGGGGTGCATCAAACCATTATCGCTTAAATCAAAGATTATAAAAATTTAACGTAAAAAATGGTTCAAGTTTCACTTAACTAGTCATAATTAGTCACTATAGTAAAAGGCAAGGATAACTATTCCAGTATATTTTCATAGCTTAACAGACTAAGTGAATTGAGCCCAGCTTAACAGGTTGAGGAAAACTAGATCATATATGAATGATATATTTAATATATATATCAGTTGTTCGAAGAATTTTGACTACTGAGGATCGTCATGAGGGGTGAAACATATTTTGAATGTCATTTAATCCAACCAACTGAACACCGAGTCTATGGAGGCATCAACCTCCATGTCCACCACGCAGTCCCTGAAAATGAGGATATTCGGGGCTAGAAGCAAACTGGAAGACAAGCTGCTCAACAAAACTAACGATCTTATGAACCTGAGCGAAAAGTACAGGAAGCTGAACTCTGGTTCAGACTCTTATATATTAAATAATATGCTGTTTCTCATCTTATTTTTGGTTAGGCTGGGTTAAGACAATTTCTGTGCCGAGCGCTGTGGCTAGGATGGGCTATGGGGCCAAGCACTGCGACCTCTTATATGTTAAATAATATGCTGTTTCTCATCTTATTTTGGGTTAGGTCGGGGTTTTGTGGGACAAATGACATAGCCCCAACTAAAAATAATTTCAAAACAATTTCTGAGAAAAGGCTCCCAACTCCTGATTAAAAGACGACTGAAAAACCTCTTTGATATCTAATGATTAATATGTTAATTAAAAACGTATAGTTTCATAAAATAGAGGGATCAAATATGGGTTGTTACCAGGGGGGATGATAGTTAACTAGCTGGGCCGCTGTCTAGCCTAAGTGTACACCTAGGACAGTTTACTGATAAGGGATATTAAGAGATCATAGGCCACTTCGTCAGACAAGTATCTTAATCGTAGGATAAACCTACGATTAATAAATCCTAGGTTTATCCTACGTTTTAGACTTGTCGCACGATTACGGAAGTACTGTTTCATCAGTCATAAATCCACCCTAAATAGAGGCTGGATTATCTATCCTAAATCTACCCTGAAACAGCTGATGCTTTCATTAGTCATCCTTTAAATCCTACGATTATCTACCCTTTTTCATCCAAACTGTTGTTTATGCACATGCGCATTGGTTTCCACAAATTAGTTTGGCAAATCAAAGACGATATTTGTTTACCTCAAATATTTTTTTGCAAAATTTAAAAAATCATGTTTTTTCCAAAAATCTGCCGAAAAATATTTTTTTAAATTTAAAAATAATATTTTCTAAAAAACACTTTTTAGAAATAAAATATCAATATTTTCGTAAAAATATTTATTTTTTTTTTTGAATTTTTTATAATAAAATTTCATTTTTACAAAAAATGAACCTTTTTTCGATTTTATCATTTTTTTACATTTTTTATTATTTTTTTTTATTTTTTTATTCTTCATCTAATGCCTTTCTATTTATGTTTTCATCTATCTATCTATTTATCTATCTATCTATCTCTCTCTCTCTCTCTCTTAATTTGAGCCAAACCCAACTAATCGTACGATCTAGGGTAGATAATCTAGGGTAAATCCACCCGTGCGGGTGGATTTATTTATCCTGCTATTAAGACATCGCGGCATTAACGTTAATAGCACGATTTACACCTCTAATGAAACACTAGGGTAGATAATCTAGCCTTAAATCCACCTGGCTGGATTTATTAATCGTGCGATTTGGCTTCAACGAAGCAGCCTTATGTACAGTACACACATCAAATATGCAGTACGCTTTCGGAGTACAAGTGTATGGGGAGGTATCTTGAATTTTACTCAGTTTTATCAGATTCGTATACTAACCATGAAATATTGCTCAGTAAAAGACTGCAATCGTACGTCATCCTGTGTAAATGTAATCCTGCACACGTTAAAAGAGCAGTGGATTGCAATAGTCAAATGGAAAACAGATTCTCCTGGCCGGATATGCAGTCGGCATTTTGAAAAAAAATGCTAT